AGTTGTGGGCGCATCGCTGGGGAATCGACAACAACAACAGCCATGACAACGACAACTGATTGACGGCAAACTGTCAATGACACGAACCCCAACTCAGATGCACACGCAAATGTTATGGCCGCCCACCAAAACCACCCACCGCTCCACCACCACCCACATAGCCTTATAGGCATTGCATTTGCGAGTGAGTCTGTATGAATGTAAGATTAAGCAAATATTGCGGCAAATTCAATTTTCCATTCAACGCAATTGAGTAAATGCAAATCACTTGGCCAGCAAAAGGCGTTAACAAACTGCAACGCTTTCCACACGAGATGCTGATGTAATGTTCTAAATTACGGATGAAATTTAAGCCCATCTGGCGCACAAAGGCCACAAATAGAATTTAACTGAAGCTAAAACCAATTCAATTAATATGTATCAATTGCGTTATAATAGGAAAATTGCACATCATAGGAAAAATTAATATGATATACAATATAAATATGTTTTATGGAGTTTCATGAAGCTTAGGGAAAGCATTTAAAAATAAATTGTAATTCTTAGATAGTTTAATCAACAATGCAAACTACAATTATGATGCTTCTTAAGGATTTGCCCGACCGAGTCAACCATTTTGGGTGATAATATTTAACCAATGACAAAGGGCCGAAACTATAATTTTACTAATGCCTAAAACCTGAGATTGCTTTGAATTTCTCCTTGACTCACGAAGTGTTTTCATGCCTGTTTACACCTGCTTTATGCTTTGTGCGAGGGTCCAGTTTTGAATGGAATTTTAGAGCTGCTGCTGGCAACCATTATTTGCCAATTGCATCTGCCCACATTCCTCTACGCATATTTCTACTCGCTTTACACACACAAAAACACCGAGAAAAACTGTTTAAATTATTTTCAGACCTGCCTTAAATAGAACCTCAGATAAAACCAGATAATAGGAATCAAGAATATTTTCCTTTTTCGAAAAGCCCATTTAGTTATATTTTATAATGTTTTTTAGATGATACAAATATACCACGTTTAGATTTTTTGGAAGAAAACTATTTTATATTTCCAACAAAAAAGCATATGTTACTGACCAGCATTAAGACAAGTTTTTAATACTTTAATTTTCGGGGCACTGGACCTGAAATCGAGCCTAGATGCTGTTCCATGCTATACATTACAAATAAAATAGTACTCCACGTGGAATTGTTTCTCTGAGTGCACACACCGACGCAATCTGGTCCATTAGACTGGTCAGTTGGCCAGTTGACATCCATCCTCACGAGTCTCGTTTCGTCTCCTTTGGCTAATGCGGCCACTGGGCAGTCAACTGGTTCGTCCCCATCGCTGGCACTCCTTATATAGTACGCAGTTCGTACATACAAATATATGTTTGTATGTACTGTAGCTGTGTTGATTTTGCCCTTTGGCTGACACAGAATGTTGTTGACTTTGCATATTAAAACAAAATGAGAATGCAGAAGCGGGTAACAACAAAATGGGAACATTGTCCAAAGATTGCAGGGTTGCGAGGGGGTGGGAAAGGGAGAGGGGTTTGGGGCACTTATAAGGCTACTTTTTCATTTGTGACGCCCACGTTAAACTTTAATTAATTATATACAGTTTGTTTGGCAAATTAAAAATTGTTGACTTTCACAGAATCGCAGAATGATGACGAGGACGATGGAGAGGAACCAGAAAATGAGGTTGGGAGAATTTTAATTAGGCAGCGCTACACACAAACACACACAAACAAACGAACGCAGGCAGACAGAGAAAAACGGAAGATTGCGTAAGAGGCTTAATGCGAGAAAATGGAGGAAAAGCTACTGTAGCAAAATGTGAAATGCTGTCGAGTGTGACGTCCAATAAGAATTAGTGGCCAACAGGAGCATCAAAAAGACCGAATTGTTGCTGTTTTTCGTTATTGCCATTGATTGACACGAAAAGCGGCCACGCTTTCAGGTGTACAAGTGAGTGTGTGTGGGAATTCCACGGATCCGCAATTTTTGGCCCGGACACGGAGAAATCGGGTGAAAGGTCCAGGGCGTTGAGTGCCTGCTTTTCAGTGGCTGACGGGAGAGTTGGAGAGATGGGGCGGAAGGAGGACTCCAACGTGGCCATCCACGCTAATTGGAGCACGTCGTAGACCACTCCTCCACTGAGAAAAAATCCAGCATCAATATCAAAATCATCAGAACTGCAAAATTTGTCTATCGATTGAATAGTTCCCAAGTTCACCTTTCATTTTATAGATGTTTGAGTAAGAATATTTCAATTGTATTTCAATTATGCAATTTGTATTGGTATCACCCAAGTGAAGTTCGGTTAAAAAATCAATGTAGAATAATTTCTTTGGCATTGAGTTAAAATCGGGAGTATTAAATTAAATAGTCTGAGATTTACATATCTTATTTTTTATTTTCTTACACTTTTTATTTAGGCTACAAAGTCGCTCAATTCAGTTACAAAATTTTGTTAACTATTTACAGAAATTTCCTTTCAGTTTACACGTACAGGGACCCAGGTGAAAACGAAGAAGTGCACTTAATTGGAATACGACGGAAAGGGCAGCGCAAGTGCGTCGCCGTTGCTCTATGATTAATTAGTGGCCAGAGGAAAGGTTTGTGGGCAATATAGAAAAGGAAGCGGGTGAGAAACTAAAACTGTCCCCAGAAATGATTGATACCTATTCAAAACTTTGTTAAGAGAAAATCGACCAAAATCAATTAAAAAGCAGTTTAGTTAAGGTTTCTTTTCGCTTTATAATTGCCAAGTTTTTCTTTTTGTACTGTCTTCTTAAATCAACTTAATTTTCTTTAAAGCTAGAGCTGAGAATTAAATTCTGTGTAACTCGAGCAGCTGTTGCCTGATTTTAAGCAGCCCTGCCAAGCAATCTCTCTAGAGAATTCCCCCACAAAGCCCAGCTTTTCTTGACGTTTGTCGCGTTTCGTCTTACGCATAATTAGCCGGCGTAAGTAAACTCCTTAAGCTGCAGTTAAAAGCCATAAAACTTGCGCGCATCGTTTGCTGTCATGTTAAATTCATAATTTCAATTTCAAATTGTTATTACAGCCGTCGTTGTTTTTTCCACCCCCCCTGTTGGCCGCCCCATCATTTCATTCCATCTCAACATCCCCTTCACGTTCCTGCCTGATTATTATTGACAGTTGCCGACGTCTTCTGTTCTGTTCTGTTCTGTTCCGTTGGTGTTGCTGTTGTTTTGCTTTAGTTGTCTGACACACCCTATCCTGCTCATTTTAGTCTCATAAATATGCAAATTAATCATTTGCGGAAATTTACATACTTAATAAGTCGCTTTAATTAAATGTTCACGCACGCATGCCTTGCAATCTTGCCCCCGAGAATCGCATGAAATCGGTGGAATCCTTTTTTCCACATTAATGCCAGCTCGTTAATTGTGCTGCAGCTAAAACTCATCTCTATAGCGCTGAAACTCGATTTGAGTCAGGGGAAACGTAAAAAAAAAACCCAAGGCTTGGCAACTGTTTCGCATATTTCGGGAGACAGTCACGTTTCATTCAAAGCACCAGTGGCAACAGCACAAAAACAGTTTATCTGCCGAAAACAGCAAACAAAAATTAAAAAAACAAAAAAAGGAGACTGAATGAAGAGCACAGAAATCTTTTTTATGTGTTCAACGAAAATTTTCCCCAAAACGAAAATGAGCACCAGGACCGGTGGCATTATAAAAAAAATCCCCGAAAAAGTATGCAAACTGTGAGGCGCAGCGAACATAAATTAACATTTTTATGCCCCGCTGCAATGGACCAACAAGAAGTTGGCTCACAAAACTGGTCGGATGGGCGGGTCTCGAGACTGGAGGCTTGAATAGTGGGTGGATTCGACTGCGGGGCCTACGAGAGTCCTTTCTAATGCCCGCATTATTTACGAGGAAGCTGAGGGCCCATTCACATCTCTCCATTCCATTTCATTTCTCTACTGTTCTGTTCGTTTCCATTTCGCTTCGTTTCCATTTCGCATCGCCGCATTCTTTGCCATTTGCCTTTGACGCCACAAATAATTTTAATTGGTTTTCCTTTTTGGGGAGACCCTCGACCCCAGATGGTAATGACTTTATTTCTAAATATTGTATATTCAGTGAGGTTGAAAACCATAAGACCATAACTTGTAATCGATAAAGTTTAGGTCGTGAAACAGCAAAAAATATCAACAAAAATGGTCATCAATGTTGTGTCAAAGTATCAAAGTAAATCAAATTGAAAAGAGAAAAGTTTTAACTAAGTATGAAACGACAATTTAATGTTTGCCTAACGATTTTTTCGTATGCTTTGAAAATGTAAATGAATCATTTTTTACATAAATATAAGTAAAACCCAATAACTTAGATCTTCTCACTTTATTTTTATTGTTTTATCGTATTTAACTTAGATAAACATTTTTTTTGGAAGAATACTTCTTTGTCAACAGGATTTCGTTTAGATATTAAACTTCATTCGTTTACCAAAATCTAGATAGTGTATGTACTAGTTCATCCTTTAGATAAGCTACACTATTTTCCATTATTTAAGTTTTGCAAGTGTGTTTGTGTTGCAGCCGCAATTGCAATTTGATTTGGCTAAATTTGCATACATTTGTGTCTGTGTGTGTTGTTTGTGGGTTTGCACTTGCAACTTTTGGTTTTGATGAATGGGAAAACAGTTGATGGCAGATAGAAGGTGGGGAGATGTGGGATGTGCAACCACAATTATGTGAATTAGGTTTTTCTCAAAATTATATAATTGCCACAATCCTCAATTTAATATTATGAATACGAATACAAATTCGTAATTAATTCGGAATCATCACCGAAAGATAAATTCTGGTATATGCTAGTTTCCAAAGAGTTTTTTAATGGTTGGAAGCTTTAACTTATTTTAAAATATACTTTCAAAATGATATTATCCTTATTTTGTTTGGTGAAAAAGCAAAAAGATTTTAATAAATGACAATTTGTGGCATACTTTTTTGGGCTTTGCTAACTTTTTACTCACCTTTCTTCGCTGCAAGTTTCACTTTTGCTTTCGTTTTTTCTTCACCTCTCACTCGCTCTCTCTCTCTTTCGTCCACTTTCTCTTTCTCTTTGACTCTCCTTTTTATATATTTTTTTCTAAGACAGCTTAGCAATCCATTGTTTTAGTTGTCGCTGCTTTAGTTGTTGTTTTTGTTGTCATTCCGAAGTCAGCGACACACACGCACACACACTGGTACACACACGCATTACGGTTGTGGGAGAGGGATGGCGAACGAGCGGGCGAATTCATTAGGCATGCGGGAATTTTAATTTCACTTGCTCACACGCGCGCACATATGTGGCGACATATTTCTCAAACATTTTCGTTAGTCGATGTTGCTGCTGTTGTTTTTGTTTTTTCTCCCGTAGATGATGTTGCTGTTGTTGCTACGCATCCTTTGGCCTTTGTTCTTGCCCGTGCGGCGCTTTTCAATTTGCATGTCGCGCTGACCTTGCCGCCAAGTGGAAATAACTGTGCCAGCACACACGCACACACACGTACGTTCACGCTGACAGCTGTCAAAAATTGCGGATGGCGGAAGGCGGATGGCGAATGGCGAATGGCGAATAGCGGATGTGGGATGCGAATGCGGATTTTACAGCTGGATGCGGAGCAGGAGCCTGTTGTAGATGCCGACGATATGCGGCTGCCGGCAAGGATAACGGTCCAAAATCTCCATCTTTGCAAAAAACTAGAGAGTTTAATGTTCAGTCAAGTGCCCGTGCCCGAGTGAGACGGAGGACCACACACTCCCCTGCTTCCTCTTTCTCTTCGTCTTCCTCTCCCACTCGCACTCCCTTCTCCTTAGCTTATTTATCTTTTTCCCGTTGCCTTTGTTCTACGCTCTCCGTGCGTGCGTTTGTCTGTGTGTGATGACAAATTTCTGTCATTGTCTGTGTGCAGCAGCAGCAGGAGCAGCAACCAAAAATATAAAAACGAAAAGCCAAGAAGAATCGCCAAGAAGCGCTTCCAGTTTCAGAGTGTTCTTCTTTTTTTATATGTTTTTTGGAGATTGGATGCTGGATGCCCAAGTCTCTGTTGTTGCGATAATTTGCATAATAATCGTTGATTTCCAAAAATTAAAAAAAAATTAACCAAAAACCGGATAACACGTGGCCAGAAATTGGAATATTTTTAATGGCCCCGAAAAAAGCAGCTGGCTGGTTGGGCGGCCGGAGGAGGCGAGAGTCCAGCGGGCTTATCCTCGCACAAATTCACATTAATGGCACATGCAATTTTCCCCTACATTTGGCACCTAGCGCCCAGCTTTCACCCGCTGTACCGTTATGTACCGTTTAATGCCGATGTACCGTTATACCGCCGCGTTGTGTTCACAGGACCGCACAAGCTCAGACTGAAGCGACGAAGTGAAGCTGCGTGAGCGAGCGGCTGGATGCTTTCACGCTTTATTACTAAAAAAAAGAGGTCCTTTTTGCTTTCGTTCGCTCGCGCGCACAGCTTCCTGTGCTTCCTCTTCTTCTCTCGTGTGTAGACTTTCTCGCCGCGCTCTCTCTGCGTTCAAGCTCTCGTGCAGGCGCTTTCCAGCCCACCGCCACCCACTCTCCCGCACACAAGGAGAGAGCGAGGCGGCGCAACAATGAAACGCTCGAAAGTCTACAAAATGAACAGACCGTTTTAATAACTCGGCCATCTAGAGGATATTTTGAAAGTGTTCCGAAAAACACATTCGGGGAAAAGTTTGAGAAAGTAAATTCCCACGAAAATCTATAAGTGTTGGTTGCGGTTCCTCAAGTTTTTGGGGGCCTAAACAGCTTTTCACTGCCTACTTTTATTATTTTGGCATTATTTTTTTTATCCTTCCTAAGGGGGCTATATATTATATATATATAGGGGAGAGTGGGGGAATTTCGTCACAGGGGCAATTTCGTCACCTGCAATATCTCGGAATCCATAAGTCGTAAAAATATATAATTTTTTTGTTTTAGACCTTCAAGACGGCCAGACACAACCAATGCATTTGTTTTGCACAGAAGGCCAAGATAATTAAGCTATAATATTAAATGTGTTTTAACAGTTCAAAAGCTACATTTAGTTCTCGACAAAATTTTTTCTGTATGCCACAATTCAAAAGGAATAAGATACACGATTTTTTATATAATACACAGTGCTATAATGTGCATTTCTGCGTCAGTGATTTTTAACTTCGCGCCTAATTTCGGAAGAAAAATAATTATTTCTAAAAAAGTACTGTCTGGGGAAATTTCGCCACCCTACGCTAAGGGTAAATTCGCACCTATTTTAAATACATAATTTTTATATTTGACGAGCTGGCTAACGAACAGACTACCAGCAGCAGCAACAAATATATGACGTCAACAAAAATGGTACGCTTGATCAGTGTAGCATATTTACAGGCGTTAACTCCCTACATTTTTCAGGTGACGAAATTGCCCTGGTGGTGTGGTGATTTTACCCCCCTGTGTGTCGAGATTGCCCCAGTATATTGGTTTTACTTTTTAATTTTTTATAAATCACCAAGGTAATAAAAAAAAATAGGGGAATGTCACATTTTAAAGCTTGGTGCTAACCGCATTCAACAATAAAAATAGAAATATGATAACGTGTCTCAAGATGGACACAAAATAGCTTTGAAAAAATGCTGACGAAATTCCCCCACTCTCCCCTATATATATATAATATAGACGTCCGAATTTTGATAAATTGAATTCGAAATTTTAAAATGTTAAAGAATGGCTATATACCAGTGAAGAAGAGCATGTAATAAAAATTAACATAGATATAATTCTTTTAATTTTAAGGTGTCTCTCAGACACCCAATGAAGAACTACCAAATAATAACGGTTAACCCTATTCATATATTCCTAAATCTATACATATTTTGATTATCTTCCAAGCTTTCTGATTTTGCTTGGAAAAGCTTTCTGTGACACCCCAAATAAATTATTATTATTATTATATCTGAGGAAGACAACACCATACATCATATTTATTTATTATTAAGTTTTTATTAAATAAAATGTTGTAGCTTGTGAGTATTATATCACTAATAAATTTAAAATCAAAATAATAAAAAAAATGTTTAGCGTGAATTATGTAAACAGAAAAGCAAAAACTATCGCATGGACTGCCATCGCTAAGGGTGACCAGAACAGCCCAGTGTGACCGCAGAAACATCGATGTTTGCAGACATCGATGTTTTTCAAAAAACATCGAATAAAACATCGATGTTTGGAAATTTTTTTAGAAAATGTTATAATATAAATGTTATAATAAATAAATCTCAATGGTTTTTTTATTTATCCGTCGTTTATAGCTTAAGCAGCGTCGCGCCTACACCACCAAAACCATTCCCTATAGATTCAAGCAAATAATTAAACATTATAATTATCATAATACGAACAAGAAAGGAAGCTAGCGGCCAACCGAAGCTTATATACTCTTGCAGATCTTTCCTCTTAACTAACAAAAACATTACATTTAGATTTAATTGCGTATATGCTAAAACAATGTTCATTTTAGCTGCTTTCGTATTATTTTGGCTTTCATTTTTTGATCCTCCAAATTTTGGTGTTTATAATTTAATTCGAAGTTTTGAAATGTTAAAGAAAAGCTATATCCCAGAAAATACGGGAATGTAATAAAAATCAAGGAAAATATATTTTTTTTCCTATTAATTTCCTATTATTTTCCGACAATTCGTATGGCAGCTAAATGATATAGTGATCCAATTTTTTAAAATTTTTATTCGAAATTCAGAAATATTTAAAAAATTATATTCCCAAGAGTAGAAGATAACATTTCAAAAAAACACCGAAGCTACGTTACGTTTTATGTTTTTTTTCTGATCCTTCCTATGTGAGCTATAAGATATAGTTGTCCGATCCGGTCGGTTATATATATATATATATATTCTTTATTGGGTCGGAAACCTCTCCTTCACTGCGTTGCAAACATCTGACTGAAATCATTTTTCCCTCTGCAACGGTACAGAAATGTACCCTATTACAATTCTTTAACGTTCATTTTTCTTTGAACAGTGATGGCCCTAAAAACATCGATGGTCCAAAAAAACATCGATGCATCGATGTTTCCATCGATGTTTCTCCACCTCTAACGTCAGGCCAGCAACCATCTTGTGAAAAGTACTACGAGTGTGGAGAGGAGTTGGTGTAGGAATTGTACAATTACTTCTGCGGCGAAAAGTTAAAAAGCATACAAAATGTCGATTATTTCCGCCCGCCTGGCGTCCTCGGTCGCCCGTAACCTGCCCAAGGCTGCCAACCAGGTATAACCCCCGAAATTCCGGCCATAATACGCCCGGAAAAAGTTGGCAAAAAAGATGTCATACATAACCGAATCGATGGGGTATTTTGCAAAAATTAGTGGATCGCGTGCGCCAGAGCTTGACAAAACAATGGATAGAGATTCTCTGGACCCCTAGGAAGCCTTTAAATTGGATTTCCCTGCTTTTCTAGCGACCATTCGTGTTACGCAATGCGGCAACTTACAAAGCGGCCGCTGAAATTTGTGGGTTGTCAGGGTTACATAATCAGTGCGAGCCAGAATTTCCGTAAGAAAATCCAATTGCCTGGCCAATTGGACGGCAAAAGTGTGTGAAAAACGTTAAATACTCTTTGTTTTTGTGGTCAGATTACATAATTTCGATGTAGGGGGAGATGCGGTGGAGACCAATTTTGAGGTTAGGTGCGGGTGTCAAGCAAGTGGTGAAGGTGGAATAGAATGCAAAGTGGGGATGCACCGACAGACAGATACCCTGCAAAAGGCGTTTGCAGCTACTTAAGATCCGTGGAGAGCTGGAGAGAAGGTGCTTAGGGCATACCCTGCCCCCTGTGATTATCCAACTGCGATGTGCCCCACACACACCTTACATAATCTCGCATAATCATATGGATTACCCTCTTTTTTTTCGCACAGGTCGCCTGCAAAGCCGCCTATCCCGCCGCCACCCTTGCTGCCCGCAAGTTCCATGTGGCCAGCTCGCAGCGCAGCGCCGAGATCTCCAACATCCTGGAGGAGCGCATCCTGGGCGTCGCCCCCAAGGCCGACCTGGAGGAGACCGGCCGTGTGCTGAGCATCGGTGACGGTATCGCCCGTGTGTACGGCCTGAACAACATCCAGGCCGATGAGATGGTGGAGTTCTCCTCCGGCCTGAAGGGCATGGCCCTCAACTTGGAGCCCGACAACGTCGGCGTGGTGGTCTTCGGTAACGACAAGCTGATCAAGCAGGGCGATATCGTCAAGCGTACCGGCGCCATCGTGGATGTGCCCGTCGGCGATGAGCTGCTGGGTCGCGTCGTCGATGCCCTGGGAAATGCCATCGACGGCAAGGGCGCCATCAACACCAAGGACCGTTTCCGTGTCGGCATCAAGGCCCCCGGCATCATCCCCCGTGTGTCCGTGAGGGAGCCCATGCAGACCGGCATCAAGGCCGTCGACTCGCTGGTGCCCATCGGCCGTGGACAGCGTGAGCTGATCATTGGCGATCGTCAGACCGGGTAAGACGATAGGGATTTTCTAACTATAACTTAATAATCCCATTTCCCGGGCTAAACTCAAAATATAAATTGGGAATAACAGTTAAATTTATATGTTCATTTTCAAACAACATAATTAAAACCATAGGTAGTAATTTACTGTTGACTAAGTACGAATTTTATAGTTCATAGTAAACGAGTTTACTTGTAGGTCTGATATAGATCTAATCTTAGTCTTTACTTTGACTCTATTAAAAATTAAAAGCTTAAATTTAAATACATAGGATTTGCAGATTTGAAGGGATTTGATTTGATTGCCTAACTCAATACCAAAGCAAAGGATTATTGTCCTTATTGTAAAGCAAATTAGGGTTCTATAATATAATTTTGAACACCATTGCTCAATAATTTTACTATCATATGGTTTGAAAAATGTCAGTTATAATATTTTTGTTTAATTACTTTAAAAAGCACAAGCAGAAAACTGTTACATTTAATAGAAATATTTATAAAAAATAATATCGTAATTTAAAATATGTACAGTAGCTAAAAATCATTTTATAATAATGACCGAGTGAACTTTTTTCAACCAACTTTAACCAAACAATTCCTCTATTTCACCTGCAGTAAGACCGCTCTGGCCATCGACACCATCATCAACCAGAAGCGCTTCAACGAGGCCCAGGACGAGTCGAAGAAGCTGTACTGCATCTACGTCGCCATTGGCCAGAAGCGTTCCACCGTCGCCCAGATCGTGAAGCGTCTGACCGACTCCGGCGCCATGGGCTACACCGTGATTGTGTCCGCCACCGCCTCCGATGCTGCTCCCCTGCAGTACTTGGCCCCCTACTCCGGATGCGCCATGGGCGAGTACTTCCGCGACAAGGGCAAGCACGCCCTGATCATCTACGACGATTTGTCCAAGCAGGCTGTGGCCTACCGTCAGATGTCCCTGCTGCTGCGTCGTCCCCCAGGTCGCGAGGCCTACCCCGGCGATGTGTTCTACCTGCATTCGCGTCTGCTTGAGCGTGCCGCCAAGATGTCGCCTGCCATGGGAGGTGGCTCCCTGACTGCCCTGCCCGTGATCGAGACCCAGGCTGGAGATGTGTCCGCCTACATTCCAACCAACGTCATCTCGATCACCGATGGACAGATCTTCTTGGAGACCGAGCTGTTCTACAAGGGTATCCGCCCTGCCATCAACGTCGGTCTGTCCGTGTCCCGTGTGGGCTCCGCTGCCCAGACCAAGGCCATGAAGCAGGTCGCCGGTTCCATGAAGCTGGAGTTGGCCCAGTACCGTGAGGTCGCTGCCTTCGCCCAGTTCGGTTCCGATCTGGATGCCGCCACCCAGCAGCTGCTGAACCGTGGTGTGCGCCTCACTGAGCTGCTCAAGCAGGGACAGTACGTGCCCATGGCCATTGAGGATCAGGTACGTAAGAGAAGGGAGTCCCGGTAATAAAACCACTAATGCTCCACCCAATCCACCAGGTCGCTGTCATCTACTGCGGTGTGCGCGGTCATCTGGACAAGATGGATCCCGCCAAGATCACCAAGTTCGAGAAGGAGTTCTTGCAGCACATCAAGACCTCCGAGCAGGCTCTGCTCGACACCATCGCCAAGGACGGTGCGATCTCGGAGGCGTCCGATGCCAAGCTGAAGGACATTGTTGCCAAGTTCTTGTCCACCTTCCAGGGTTAAGCATCAGCAGAACGACGAAAAAGTAGAGCAGCCGCATGCAATTAACATCCTAGATGGTTCGAACAATGCTGCCATCGCTGCGCGCCATCAACAAGAAGAAAAAATAACAACCTAAAGCTTAAGATAAACAGAAATTATACAACAAAAACAAGAGAAAACTCCTTTGCACATTCATGTTTTCCTACGTATCCCGCCAGGATCGCTTCTATTCCGTGGTCCTGCGCCGTCATGCCGCAAAATCTTGGGAGAGAGAGAGCAGGCGCAGGCGGCGGACTGGACAGCGTTTCCCAGCCGGATCCAGTTTCGAATTTCAGCGAAATATCCATGCGGTTCCTCCAACCTCCTAAACGATAGATAATCCCCGTTGTTCTTCTACCTTTAATGTGTAATCAATATTTTAAATATTGTAATCGAGAATAGTCGAAATAATGTCTGAGGATGATTGTGAAACGATGATGAATTAAAAACGATACTAAATTATACTCTAAATGAGCAAGATGTTTCTTCATTGCTGGGGATTGCCTATATTAAATTAATTAAATTTTAGTTCAGATTTTGAATGTCCTTTAAATTTACCGTATCATTGGGAACATCTTGAATAAGTAGTATTTGGTCCAGTAAGGGATATGAAATCTTGATCAGCTATATTAACATGACCTTTTTTAACGAAATTATTTGTACAGTGTAAAAGCTTTGTATCGTTGTAATTTATATGTTCGTACAAATATTTAAAAACTTTATCTGACTACTATATCCCAATGGTTTTGTAGGCTTTTTAAGATGTTAACTTCCGAGATATTTCGTATATTTTCCCAATATTTCCAAAGAATATTAAGATTTAGCAATATTGATTCTGCTGCGTAAGCGTTATCCGAATATTTTGGTAATCAGGTCCTAATCTTTTGCATAATAAAGATCCTGTCACCAACAGGGGGTTTCCGAACTAATCTTGGTTCTGGCGCTCAGCTGATCCCACAGACGACGAGCAGATGTCCTCTTCTCACCTCGTCCTTTTGCCTACCCGTAACCCCCTGACCTTTGTGCGAATTATCGACCCCTCGCTAAGTTACCTGAATGACTGGCTGCACTCCCAGGAACAGGATTAAATAAAAAGAACCCGGTGGTTCGAGTGGTTCGTGCTGTGCATATTTCGTTAACAGCAAGCCAGAAACGAAAGCAAGAAGTTCCCCAAAAAAAAACAGGGGCCCAAGACCCAAAAACTGTAAACCCGATTTATACGGCCTGAAGTTTTTATGACGCCGATTGCCAGTGGCAGCCAACATAAAATGTGCCAAAAGGGGGGACAAAGGGGGCGGCATGAAAAATTACTTTCTTTTTTTTACCGTAAACAAAAATTAATGAGAGCCATAAAACCGTCAAACTTAAATTTCGAACAGGCGCACAGCAAATCCAGCAGGCCAAATACAGTGCTCGTTCTAAGAAGTGAACGCCCTGATTTATAACGATTATTTAGGTGGAAAATTATTTATTTTTATTATTTGCTAGGTATTATAGACCTGAAACTATAGCAAATATTAGCCTATAAAGCTTTAAGGTTTAAGGTATTCTAAACACTATAATATATTATAATCTTAAGTTCAATAATGTTCTAAGCGTGATATTTTAATTAATTTTAAACACTCGTTGAGAGATAATAGTTTTCCAAAATTCTAAATTAGATTAAAGCTTGAGCAAATGTCTATACTCAGATGTCTAGTGATAAAGTCATTATAAAGCATGTTGTCTTTTAAATTTATTTTGTCGGTATAAAGTAAGTAATATGACTGATAAGGGCTTTTGTATTATAAATACAAAGTGCTATATTAAATATTTAGAGTAAACATTTTTTAGAAATATTTAGAAATCGAGCCAATTTACCTAGTGAGCACTGTACAAGAGGAAAGTGAGATAGACACCCACATACACGACAGTCTGAAAGCGACACGCACACTCACCACCTCGTGCGGTGCTGGCAATGTGCTGGGCAATTACCGTTGCCCATGGAACAGGGAACAGAAAAACCGAAAAAGGAGCGTGAAAATGGGAAGAAGGAAGGGGAGAGGCGGAAGAGAAAGATAAGTAACTGACCTGCGATCGGGAAGGTGACCTTCCCCAGGGTGCCGTCCATATGTATATGTGTAGGGTATATTCTTGTACATACAAATGTGTTTTTTGTGTATTCAGGATTGATAAGGATGCAGGACAAAAGGACACAGGCAATTCTGTCCCTGGCAAAGGGTCTATATTCATCGCTGTCTGTCTGGTCCCTAATTTTTCAGGGTTCTGGAAAGTTTCCCACACTCATCAGCTGTCAAATCGCAATATGTAGCTCTAAGTAATTTTAAAATGAAATAGAAAATAATGATTGACCAGATCTCTAAGCGTAACTAAAATCCCAAAAGAAACACTCTCTTTTTTATAAAATTACACAAATCTTTATTTGCTATGTATTGTTCAGACAGTTTCGGAAACAAAGTGGGTTAAAAATGTTTCTTAATTATTGCTTATCTATAAGTAAACAATAGAACTAGCTTAGGGTGTTTTTTTGTATGGTTGTGGTGAAATACATGACATAAATTACAAATAGTCTAATCCTCGTTATATTTTTGGGATACGGAAATATTTTTGCACGTTTTTTGGATTTATTCATAATGCACAGAGCGAATAATTTCCTATCAAAGCTAAAAAGTAAATACAAATAAGAGTAGAGGATGTGATTATAAAATATAGTTCTTGGAGAGACAACGCCGATGTGTTCGGCCAGCAAATGAACTCGTTGCCCACTCTCTCTCGGTGTCCACCGCTCCGCCGCTCGCTCCCCACTGAGAAGCTGTCCCAGCGGGAGGAGCAGGCGGGCTCCAACTTGGTCCGGTACCTGGTCTTACCGGCGGAACTCACTCCCAGCGGCCGGCTCGCGTTCAACTTGTGCTCCAGGTGCAAAGGTGCCGGAGCCAGCTCTTGGCAGCGGTCGAAAAGTGCTCAAGGGACTCCAGCAGAATACGATGTGTAAGTGTAGGGGGTGATTGCTTATGACGATGATGATAGATAGCTATGCGAATACCGATACTATACGCATTTTGTAACGAACACGAAACGAACAGAATATTGAATACGCTACAAATTTAAAAAATGAAAACAAATTAAACTAAACTAGTTGTGTCTGCGTCCTCCGGCTCTATTTCCTCAGGCTGCCCACGATCGAGTCCATCAGCGCGCCGGTCAGCTCCGTTCGGAGCGCGATCTTCTGGAACTTGCTGCCCTGGTACTTGCTGTAGATGGCCTTCAGCTTGGCCTGCGGAGCATCCCGGGCCAGCTTGGCGATCTGCCGCGTAATGGGTCGCAAGTGGGCGGCCGAGTAGCGCGAGTAGTAGGTCAGAGTGGGCGTCCAGTGGCGGTCGTTGAAGCCCGTGCCAGCCCGGTAGTTTCCATTGAGCAAGTGCAGCGAGAGGAACAGCGAAGCAGCTGCAATCTGTAGGTGGATATGGAATAGTAGAAATTTGTAAGAATTTAGCAAAGAAGGAAAAAATATAAATACTATCAATAAATCGAACATAGCTAAATTTATAAAACTTTAAAATTACTGAAATGCCCTTTTAAATTATGAATTTTATTTATAAAATATTATTTATATATTATTTTACGGAAAACTAAATATTAAAATTACTGAAATATAAATATTATCAATAAATTGAACATAGCTAAATTTATAAAACTTTAAAATTACTTAAATGCACTTTTAAATTATGGATTTTAATTATAAAATATTATTTATATATTATTTTACGGAAAAGAAAATATTTATAAAAGGGTATATAATTTTTAATTTTATATATATAACATATATATATAAACTCACCTCCGATGGCCTGTAGCAGGCCATGTCGTATTCCACGGAAGCCAGCTCAATAAAGTACTTGGACATCGCGTGGTGCTCGTCCTCAGCGCCGGCAGCCTTCGAGTACCGCCTCAAGAAGTGAATCGGCAGCGGACGCGACAGATTGCAGTCGATGGCCTTGAAGATCTGCAGCTCCATCTGGCGGATCTGCCGCGCGGTGTAGGTGTCATCGGTGATGAAGACAAAGTCACCGATGGCCGGCGGGAAGAGCTCCTCGTACTTGGTGGCAATGAAGAGAGCCGTCACGCCCACCAGCTGCAAGTAGGTGCGCTTGGTGTCCTTGACCACTTGCAGATAGCGATCGATAATGGCCACCGCCAGCTGGAAGGTCTCTGCGGCCAGATGGAACTGCAGGTGGACCTCGTTGATCCAGTCGATCAGCACGGCCCGCATCTTGTGCGACACCTCCTTCTGGCCGGCCAAGTGGTCCTTGTGTATGGGCTGCTGCAGCTCCACCTGGTACAAATAGTCGTAGATGTCGTTCACATATTCGGAGACCAGAACCAGGTTCTCCTTGTCGTTGGCATCGATGTCCTCGATCCCGGCCAGGCGTTTGCTCGAGAGGGACATGGTGGTGGGCAGCGTGGATGTGGTCGTGGTGACCACACTGCTGGCCTTGATCAGGGGCATCCTGGTCGCTTCCTTTTTGGCCTCCGTCACCTCCTTCTTGACTTCCAGAATTTCCTTGGCCTTGATCTCCGTCTCCTTGCGGGCCACAGCTACTGGCTCCCGGCGAATCCCGGACACTCCCATCACGGGCTTGGCCAGGGCAGCGCGGAGCTTGGTCAGCGATTTCTTGGACAGATTACTGTCCTCGCGTTTCAAGGCGGGCTCGTTGGCATTCTCGTTGGAACTGGCTTTTACTGTAACTTAGGATTTGAAGAGATGATACAAAATTATAAGTATTTTAAGATCATAATTTTTTTTTAAGTGTAATAAGATTTGAAAAAATGCGTCATAAACTGCAGGAAAATGGTATAAATGTTTCTACAAGATATTTATCCAAATATTAGTTTTTAAATGATTTTTTTCCAAGTTATTTAGTTTTGGTATGGAATATTTTATAGAGATTTACTTACTCTTAACAGGTTCTACAGTCGTCTTGGCCGGAACGCGAGTGCGCACCGAATTCGATCGCAAAAAGGCCGACACACCCCCCTCGTTGGCCTTGGGCGGAGCGGCTGTATTGCCATTTGTGCTGGTTCCCAGGGCCGTTTTCTTCCAGTGGGTGTCCACTCGAGCCTTGGCATTGCGCAGGGCGTCTGTGAGCTTGAGATCCTTGGAGCTGCCATGAAAGCATGAGTATGATTGGAATTTAAGACCTACATTTTCTTTACACTCACTCTTTCTGTGCCGCATCTTTCGCAGCAATGGCGCGATTTAGACCGCGATTTTGCAAATCTCCCAAAGCAGCGCGTTTTGTTGTCACCTCCTGCGAAGGCACCGTCAATTTCTTCAGTTGCACTTGCTTGAAATTCTCCGAAGCGTTCTGGATGAAAATAAAATTATAAATAAAATTAAAATAATATAAATGGTATACATAGGTTAATAAAAAAAATGTATTTGCATCTCATATAATTTAAGAACATTTCTTAATCATTTGTTAAGAATTTTAGTTATTACCAACTAATAAGCTATTGTTACTTTATTTAACTATGGAAGCAATGATTCATCCATATTTTATTACAATCTTCAAAGATTATGAAATTATATTTTTTCACGACGGCCATTTTAGGAAAAGAACCGCAAGTGCTATCCCCGATTTAACTCCTTTTCGATTTGTACAAAAACAAGGAGTGGAGGGCGATAATTAGCGGTAGAAGTACCGCAACTAGAAAATTGCGCCAAAAACGTGATTGCAGGAATTACAGCCACAACAACAAAGTCCTAGGACAAACGGCACTTTTCACCCCCTCTTTCACGCGCTCTCTTCTCCTCTCCTTCTTCTTTCTCCCCGCTTCCCCTTCGCCTATGTATTCTTGCCCACGCTGCAATGGCGTCGCTATCATGATGAACCCGCTACTTTTAGAACTTTTCTATTATCTTAACTACGGATTCCCGGTAAATGTTAATATCTTGGGGAAAACTCACCTCATCGCCGCGCATTTTCAGGGTTGTGCCCACCATTTTGATTATTTCTTTTATTTATACAAACACAAGTAACACAGATCAGCAGACGCTTGGCTGATTTAGACTTCTTGGATCGCGTTTCTTTTAATTGAACGCGGGTTTTAGTTTAGATATTGATTTTGTTGTCCGAATATTTAAGTTGTAATGTACAATTTCCAAGTCGAGAGTTGCTGAGATTTAGTCAATTCTCCGAAAACCTGATCGAGCTCTGCGACGATGCGAAGCCAAGCTGCAGTTTGAATTTGAAAATTGAAAAGTGGATAGGTTAGGGATGTGAAATAATCTAGCCATCGATTGTGCCCCGGCTATCGATGTTTCTAGATCATCACGATAGTATCTATATCAATTACCAATTGTCAGCCATGTCAGAAATTGTTTCCCTTTTCTGCCACATTGGCGCCATAAAATAAATGCGCGGAGGGTGTATTCGCTAACTTAGCCAAGGCACCAACCTCATAATTTATTACTGTTTATTATCGATAAGGGTGTACTTGCTAACTTAGCCGAGACACCCTCCTCACAATGTTATTATCGTATATTATCGATAACAACGACTGAAACAATGCTGCCCATTAAATTCAAATTTAAATTCGAAATTCATTCAACAGCTAAATTACAGTTGATTTGATATTACAACTTCAACTAGCCAAGATTTATGTAAAAAGTTAATACGAAATGCACTTCACATCCATCTTTATTAAAATACAAATTTCTAGAGGTTAATTAAGACACATCTTTGACTGCCGCTCGTCACTTTGACCGTTGCATCAGCCATTGATTGCATCAATTAAAAGTTGATCACTTCAATTGGCCGTGTGTTCGGTTTGTTTTTGTGCCCCACCGATTTGCATTCGCTGATTTAAGATTTCCTGCTGCCACAGGCCGCAGAACATCGAAACTCCGCAGCGGAAATGCAGCATAATTCTTGCCTCTCCTCAGCCTTTTTTGCTGATGATCAGTGTCAAGTTTTCGTCTGCTCCATCATTTTCAAGCACTTGACCACAAAACAATCGCCTCAGATTTTAGCTTCTTTTTTGTTGTTTTTTTTTTTTGGTTTTTAGCCCTTTGCTCCGTCTTAACGGTTGGAGCATTCTTCTTCTCTTCTTCCGGCGCTCTGGCTCATTAGCATATATTTATGAGTTTGTTTGTGCTCGCGAACTCCAGCCGAAAAGCCGAACGAGAATGAAGCGCCAAACGACACGATCGCGAGCTCAAGTTTTCCGTGATTTTCACATTTCATTCGCAAAAGTGCCGCCGTCGCGAGTGGTTGCCTCGCTCTCGCCGTCTCTTTCTGCGCGCCACCAGCCGTCTCTTTCGCCTCTGGCCCCCCTGAAAAAAAAGGAGTCCTTCGATCGATTTAACCTCCACTAAATCATTTTAAGCACTCGTAGCCCCAAAAACGGTCAGATTACGGGGTGATTTAGCGATTCGCATGTCGCGCTGCGATAGAGTAAAAATATAAAATTCATTTCGGCTATGGACATAAAACCAGAAGATCGTTATGCTCCAGAGACGATGATCTATATGGGCGCCGTGTGTGTTGTTGTTGGTTGCTGGCTGCTTAATTGTGCGCTGGCGTTTAAATAAAAATAAGTGCGTTTAAATGTGAAAACAAAAGACTGGCATTATATATTGGCAATCGAGAATGAGAATGGCAGTCAGCGTCGGCCAATAAATTAGTTTTCAAGCACCCCCTTTTCGCCTTATCTCGAGTGTCGATCAATAAGGAAGAACTTAGGCAACAAACTAAAGTACTGAAAATAAAAAAAAGAAAATAAGATTGAGTGCGAAAAGTGGCCCACAACAAATGACTCGTAATGCAATGCCTGGGCAATTAATTAGTGCATAAACAGTTAAATTAACCGCCGTAAAAGTTGGAGCCGCGCACACGATCGTGCCTTCACTTTTCCTCCCTCTCTCCCTGTCTCTCTCCCTCGAGAAATCGGGTGCTTCGAGTTTTCCACCCTCGATTTTCGCAGCTGGAAAATGTAATTTCGAGGAGCCAGGCAACAAAAAATTATGACGCAAAGTACCGAAATCGGTTTGGCAGCCTGAGGAATAATATATTTGCAATTTATGCAACAATCGTCGCGTGGTTGTTGCAACAGAGCAACAAAGAGCGATTAGTCTATTCGAAGCAGCATTACAATAGCCAGCAGAAAACAGCAGCAAAGTCCCAGAAAACGACAAAACCAAAAGAAAAAAAAAACAAAACGCCTCTGCCGTCATCATCAACGCATCGTTATGACTGTCTCAGCAATTGGATCTAATCGGCACCGTCGTTTGGCTTTAATTGTTTTGACCACCTTGTGGCTGCTAATCGATGCCACCGCCTCCTCCTCCTCCGCATCCAATCCCAAATCCGTAAGCATTGAGCTGCGTCGCAAGAGGAGCTTGCAATACAATGGCATTGAGGTGAGTCCCGATATCGATCAATGATTGCGCATTGTCGCGAGGTTAGAGATATAATTCTTCATTATTTACAACTAAAATATGTGCAAGTCTTTTAGAATACCTTTATTACTTTATTTCTGTTACCCCAAGCATTAATCATAACAAGACTTCATCTTTGTTCCAAGCTTTTGCTTGAGGTGAGTCAGGATATCAATCAAAACTTCTGTTAATGGCCTCATTGTCTAATGATATGTGATATTCACTTATCTGAGCAATCACACAAAGAAAAAAAGTGCACTAGAAAAATCATAATTTATTGTATAAAATAAAAACCTAAGCAATTGCCTTGTAATAATAAATTGGAAACAAGATTTTACCTAATTATTAAAATATGAAATGAAAATAAAATATTATTTTTTATATTTAGAAAGAAAACACTTCATATGCTTACAATACCATTAACCATTTTTTTTGTAAACTAATAAATCAAAGTAATATTTACAAGCTATCAAGTAATGTAATAAATATTTACCCAAGTGCAATTACTATTTAAAGATGCACTATTGCATATTTTTCAAGTGTAAGCGTGCTTGAATGTCATACGATTAACCCATTTACAAAAACAGGTGATCATCCATCTACGTATGCGTCAAGTGACCAATAAAGAGCATAAAAAATCGCCGTATAGACAGAACATGTACGCGAAAAAGAAAAAACCGAGAAACATATTGTCTGACTCAAGTAGAGTTTGAAAAGCTAAGCAAAAAAATGACTGGAAGTTCCAGCGGGGGAAAATGGGGAGGTTGAGAAGTACGCGGGGCGTTGAATGACCTCTGCAGAAATGGGCGTTGCGATATGTTTTGGTAATCCGAGAGCTTTAACCCAATAAACGTTAGCTGTGGCGAACAAGGCGACAACTTGTCGAATTACACTCGTGACTTCTGGTTTCCCCTTTTTTCCCCACTTTTCCCAGATTCCATTTGCCTTTAATTTGAGCTTTGCCTGGCGTCGCAGCGTCTCTTTCGGTGTTTCAGGAATTCATCACACGATTACAGGGAATTGCAAACAATCTTGCGAGCAGCTGGCCAATGCAGCTGCCTCCGAATTCTCGACCATTTCCCAGACTCACAAAACATTCGAGTGACAGGCGGCGGCTCCCTCGCGTTGCTTTTAGCCAAGTTATTGACCCTCCGAAGCAAAACTCTATAGAGTCTAGAATCACTGGCTTGGTTACGCTGCTGATTACGTGATTTTCCCCCCATTTTATTTGCATTGTTACATTCGCACTCCTTTAGTCTCTCAAATTGGCCCGAAGACAATTTTCTGTGATATAATTTTCACGTGTTGGTTTCTAGTTTTCGCCATTTTACCCTTATTTTTCTCTTCTCTTCTCTGTTTTTTTTTGCTCATTGTGCCCACGGGTCACGCAAAATTTCATCACATAATCAGCTTGGCGAGCGATTACAGTGAGCATAGCATATGTGCCTGCATTTTCCGCTTTTCCCTCCTCTCTCTGTCTCTCGGTTTTGTCATCGGTTATTGTTGCTATTTGTTTGGGGGCTTTTCCGGCAATCGCCGACTCTTTCATGTTGATTTGCTCTTTTTGTGCTGTTGCCCTTGCAGCCAATTAATGTCTATTTCATTGAACATTGTTTGGCTGTGGTAAAGTTCAGCGAAAAGATTTTCGGAGAGTTAAGTAAGACCGGAGATCGAAAATGGCCCCAGCTTGAGCAAGGGGTCGCCTAAATATAAAGAGCTTCTATAACTTTTTTCCAACTGATTGTAATACAGTTTTATCTACAAATAATTTTGAGTGAATTAAATATTAACAATATGATCTAATCAAGTACATCCGATTAAATTGCTTTCACTTCAACTTCTTAAAAATTTATCAAATGAAGTATAAATGAGTGACATTGATTTAAAACCAAATAATATAAATTCTGAAATGTGTACTGTGTACTTTAATTCTACTTTCATTTAAAAATTTATAAAATTTACATTATGTTGTTTTAATTCTAGTCCAAAAGTTTAATTTTCATAATTCCGAAAGTATTAATAAAAAACTCATCTTAGTAATATTTTTAAAATTCAATATTTGATTGGAAATAATTTTTTTTATTTTCTTTGGTTCACTTACATATTCTATTTAACAATTTATGATTTTGTTATATTAGTTTGTTTAAACACAAATTAGATACCACATAAAAGTGTCTCCAAATAAATTCAGCACACCTTCATCTGATATCCCTGGGCGGCTAACGACCAGCCACGCCCCCTTGGCGCAGCATTACAATGTTGATAATAAACATTCGCCACAACGGCAATTTGTAACACCTTCTCCTCGCAGAGGCGGAGTTTCGATCCGAAGAGCCGCAACGCTCTTCACGCTTCGCCGGCTGCAACGCGCTTTTCCACAAAAGCCAAATAAAGCCGAATGGAAACTGTTACAACAAATTAAATTAAATAATCGTGCAAACAGGCGCACGCACCAAAAAATCGGACAAGATATATGTATCTCGTATAAATGTAAAAATAAATTTTTAGTGCAGCACTAACCTTTCCACCCGACGATCTGGTGACCCCATAGGCTGCAGCACAGCTGTTTGGACTGCCTAATTGGGGTTTTCTTTTGAGGTACAAATTTTCCATTGTCTGGCAGAGAAAGTATTTTTTTTTTGGGGGGGAACTTGAGAAAACCCTTCTCCGTGGGTGCTCGCATCTGTTTTGGTCTGTTTAACGCTTTGCTGGCGATGTTACACTTTCCGCTTTGCATATTAAACATCTTTCTCTTTTCCCATTTTCCCATCCACTGCAGCTGGACGAGAACACTCTGTTGGGCCATCTGAGGGAGCACGAGATGGCGCTGATCTTTGGCTCACGATCTCCGGAAGAGGGTAAGTGTTGGCCCCAGGCACTGGCTCGAAAAGATTCTTAACTCTGACCCAGTGCCGGAGAAATATGTAATACTGTTTTGTGACCGACTTCTAGACTCAATAACTAACCGTCCGTTGAGAAATGTGATATTACGAACCTGGCAATTTAAACTAAGAATTTATCTTTACCAAATCTTTTCTCTATCATCATAAACCATCATACCTCTAGGTGTTCTTAGGAAAAGAATAAGAACTAGTTTAGTTAAATATTCCAATTACCAAAAGGAAAGTTTATAATAATTGTTTGTAATCATTTTTTAACTTTTCTACTACATTTTCAATACATCTGTATTCATTTTTGTAAGATATGGCACTTAGAACCTTAATTATTTCCTTAATAATCTAAGGATAAGTTGGGTCAACAACTTTTTTCTGAGTGGGTGAGTTCTTTTAGCCATGACCCATAATCAATGACAACGTGTCATTAAGCTGGGAGCCCAAACATCAACAACTGCAATCAATGAATGCTAAACTTGAACTGTTAATTGAAAGGTGGTGCTTTATAGGGAAGGGGGGTCTATAGGGGGCGTGGAAATCTGCGCAGTTGTTGGCATTGATCCGTGACAGGCATTTATGTTGTTTGTTTACCTGGCAGCGCCCGAATTCAAACTCGTGCACTTGGCCCAGCAGCAGGAGCAGCAGGAGGGGAGTCCCCAAGATGGAGCACAGCTGGAGCAGGAGGGGATCACCCAAAAGCGACGTCAACGCCGCAGCCTGCCAATACAAGGTGAATGGAATAGCCCAAGTTTCCCGTACCGCATCCAAATCGAAAAATCCAAATCCAGAGAGCATTTCGTGCTGCTCCAGTTGCGGTCATTATGCGAACAGTTTAATTAATTCAAATGCATTCGGCAGATGACGAGGTGCCGCCGGCGGAGAGGGGGGAGGAGCCAGGGGAGGAGGCTGGAGAGGATGGGGATGCAGTGGAGGCCCGGTTGCAGCTGCAACAGTCGCCGCAGCTAATCGACGACGCCTTCATCTTCATCCGCCGCACCGAGAATGGAACGCAGTTCGTAGAGCACTCCCCGCAGCTCCTCAAGCGCCTGGAGCGATGCTTCTACCGGAGTCCAGCGGCTGCCCTAGATCTCTGCGAGCCCGGCAACGTGGTAAGTACACCCAGAAAAATTGAGAACGAAAAAAATCAACATCGACCGATCTTGATTTTAGTATTCGTATTCTCACTTTTTTCTTCTTGATATCAAGATGAAAGCAGTGTTGATTCTAGTATTCCCAGTCAAAGTCAATCTCAGTTTTTATGTTGTGGAAGAGGGACGTGAGGAAAAGACATCGAAAAAATGAGAGGAAAAGGGCCGAATTCCTCTCTTGTAGCTATCGGGCAGTCATGCTTCTTGATATCGGTAGCCTAGGGGACTAAAGCGTGCGGATTATATGTTTTGTAAGCGTATAGTCGGAAGTGTGTGTTCAGTCCCGCGTCGAGGCGGAAATTCTTTGCGTTTTTTTTTTTTTACTCATTAATATTAATATTAGGATTTTGTTAATCTAACACAAATAATGGCTTAATAAGAGTAAAAACCAAGAACCCAAGAGAACAAAATGTGATTGAACTTTGTACAGCGCCTCATGTGATGCTTCCATGGCGCAGCTGGTAGAGTGTTTGACTGCAAACTGTGAGGCAACGGGTTCGATTCCCACGACCGACCAAAGGTGTTTTTCCCAAGATAGTAAGTTATTTGAATTTTATATTTATCATTTGTTAATTATATAATAATTTCAGTTAATGTTTCAGTTAAAATTTGAAACTAAATGTGTTCTTATATACGAACATAGTATAGTGTGACGTCATCCATGTGTTTAAATAAAGGAAAGAAAAATAAGTTGTGAAACGGGGGGAACCAACAACAACACCGACGGGGACAGGAGGGGGTGCAAGAGGCAAAATTCCCGATTCCTCAATTATTTTTTTTTCTTCTTATTCAATTTGTATCTTAAAATCGACATCGATTCGATGTTGAAACCGAGAAGACGTCATCTCGATATCGATAGCACACATACTCAAAAACCATTCTCAAAACCGAGATGACATCGATGTTGATTTTAGTATTTTCGATCTCGGCTAGGTTTTGTGATCGAAAATACTAAAATCAACATCGATGAGAACGGTTTTTTTTCTCGGTGTATGCCAAAAATCTCTGAATCATGACAAAATAAATTAAAAGCCCTTTAAATAATTTGACCTTTTAACAAAACTTAATAATTGTACTTTACACTCAAAATAAATTTAATCCTAAATTTTTGAAAATCGCCCTAAAAATTTATTTTTTCTAAATACAAGAAAGTTATTTCTAAATCTAAGGAAATTTTTCTTAAGTCAAGAAAGTTTTTCTCAAATCTAGGAAGTTTTTCTTAAATGTAGAAAATGGTTACCATGAACTAAAATCACACTGAAAATCTAGAAAAAATGCCCTTAAAATTAGAAATTATTTTTTTAATTTATGATTTAATTATGATTTGGGATTTATAATTTATTACCATATTTGAATAATTTTTCTTCAATAATAATGATAACATCCATTGCCAATCCTTAAATATAATATTTTGTATTTATTTACTATTTTTTCTTTTAACAAAACATACTGTTTCTGTAATTTTGTCTGATTCAAAGCATACTATTTACTGTTCAATTTGTAGCACATTTTAATGAGTGCAGCTTGTGTTTTCTTTACCGAGATTGGGTGTTTGCCTTTCCCGCCGCTTATTAATTTTTCACGCCTCGATCCCCGCAGCGCGGCGTTTTCCAGCAGAATGGCAGTGACCTGGTGATCCATCCGCTACCCGCGCGCTTTGGCACTGGGACGCATGTGCTCTACCAAGCGAGAGTGGACAAGAGCGGCGGCGGCTACAGTGGGGCGTCGTCAAGGCGAACGGCGCCACCGTTAGACGACAGCCAGCTGCAGTTCGAGCCCGATGCGGAGGAGTTCAACGAACCGCGCCGGCGACTGCGGGCCCAGACTCAGGCGCAGTCCCCGCTGAGATTGCGCTTCCAGCCACGACATCATCATCATTCTCATCATCCCCATCATCAACGCAGGCGTCGCTTTATTGGGGATCCTCCGCGCAACCGCTGGTCGGACATTCCGGAGGAGCTCTTCATCGAAACGGCCATCTTTGTGGACAGCGATCTCTATGCCCACATGCAGCGCAATTTCCCCACCAACACGGAGAGCAAGGTGGTCAGCTTTCTGCTGGCCATGATCAACGGGGTCCAGTTGCTGTACCATCATCCCACCCTGGGTCGCCGCATAAACTTTGTGCTCAAACGCCTGGAGATCTGGAAGTCCTGGGATCCGCCGGGCCTGGTTCGTTCGAGGGATGTGGAGAATTACCTCAACAGCTTCTGCAAGTGGCAGGAGAAACTGAACCCCTTCTCCGATGCCGATCCCCTGCACTACGACCATGCCCTCGTCCTCACCGGTCTCGACCTGGTTACCTACGAGAAGGGCAAGGCCAACAGCCAGGTGGTGGGCATGGCCACGGTCAAGGGCATGTGCACCTCCATCTACTCCTGCACCATCAACGAGGCCAAGCACTTCGAGAGCGTCTTTGTGGTGGCCCACGAAATCGGACACAAGTAGGTGGTTTCTTAATACGGAAAAGGATCTGATTTAACGTCTCTATCTTTCAGTTTGGGAATGAGGCACGATGCCAAGGAGATTAGCTGTGATCCCACCATGCACATCATGTCGCCCAAGTTAGGAAGTGGCAAGGTCACCTGGTCCAAGTGCTCGCGCACCTACCTCGAGAATTTCTTAACGTAAGTGGAGTGGATACTAAGATTTATAAATAAGTATTTCAAAGAATTTTGGATTTAAAAAAAAGGGATAAAAACTGAAGGGTCTTAATGGGTTAAGAACATTGTTGTGTCATTTAAACTTAATTGAAGATTTAACTTTAAAATCTGTCAAAATAATTGTGACGACCACTGTATTTTCCCTTTGATTTTTATTCTATACGTTATTAATAAATTTTAAACAAGAAAATATTACATTTAGGAAGTCAAATTTATTTAAAGATTTTTGGCTTTGATTTCAATTTCAACTTTTTATTAAATTTTTATTAAATAAAAAAATTATTAAATATCGTACCTAATATTTTCTGCCTTGAACAATGCATTTTAAATTGTTTTGTATTAAATATTATTTTTTTTTATATGCAGATATGTATTTTTACTATTCCATTTACTTTTTATCAGTTGTTGTTAATTCTTCATAATTTTTATAGGGACCCCCAGGCCGAGTGCCTCTTCGATCGAGATCAGTTCGTGGGTCCTTGGGATCACACTGCCGGTGGTCGTCTGCCTGGCGAGCGATTCAATGCCAATCAGCAGTGCATGTTGCGCTTCGGTAAGAACTTCATGCAGGCCAGCAGCCAGAGCAAGATGGAAATCTGTCGGGATCTCCACTGCCGCCAGGATGGACTGCCCTGGACCTCGCATCCTGCCCTGGAGGGCACCGAGTGTGGAGCTAATATGGTAATTATATATTGTAACTCTAATATAAATATTTAAATATTTATATTTATATTGATTTTAGTGGTGCCGCGGTGGCTCCTGTGAGGCTCGTTCCACCAGGCAGGGCAGCTACTCAGCCCTCAAGTCCTGGCCGCCCGAAAACGTGCCCGAGGCCACGCACGAGAAAATCTTCAGACACGAGCCGAACCGCATAGCTCCTCAGCAGAACGACTATAATTTGCTGGGAAACGAGCTGCCCGGTTCACCCTCGAATTGGGGCGAATGGAGCGAGCCGAGTGCCTGTGAGTCGGGCTGCCTGTACGGACAGTCACGCCGCCTCCTGGAGGGCAGCACCGGACTGCGAACCTTCAACCGGAGCTGCCTGAACTTTCCCTCGCGCTGCATTGGCCGGGATAGGCGATTCGTGACCTGCAACTCGCCGCAATGCCACAAGGTGCCGGTGCAGACGATCGGCGACTTTGCCAGCCAGGTGTGCATGCAGGCGCGGAAGTCGGATCCCGATCTCACCGGCGAAGGCCAGCAGTTGAGCAGCACCCTGGACGCCTCGTGCAAGATCTTCTGCCGCACCAAGACCAATGGCACCAAGTCGCGGCGTTGGACCTTTCCCGATGGCACCACCTGCCAGTCGAAGCAACACAATCCGGAGGATATTACCTACTGCATTTCAGGAAGATGTGAGCGGTTCTCCTGCGACAATGCCACCTCGAACTTCTTCAGGATGGACGGCAGCTTCTGCGAGGCGAGGTCAGTGCGGCCGACGAGGGACTCCTCGGATCAGGAGAGCAGGCAGCAGTCGACCAGCCAGCGATATGCCGAGAGGCAGGAGGGAAAACCATCCAAAAATCACTATGAGAATGGTAAGGAATTTGATTGCTTAACGTACACAGAAAAAAAATCGATATGAAATAGAGTCATTCCTACAAAATGATACTATTAATGTCAAATTTATGATTCAAGCATATCAACTTGTTATTTCATCATTTCATAAGAGATATAAAAATACTGGTTTAAAATACCAAATATAGTATTTTTAACCCTTGCAGAGGGTATTATGATTTCAGTCAGAAGTTTGCAACGCAGTAAAGGAGACATTTCAAATAAAATCTTTATTCATATCAAAATGATCTTAAAACAAGAGAGAACGCTATAGTCGGGTTGTTGTCCCGACTATCTAATACCCGTCACTCAGCTAAAGGGAGTGCGAACGCTGTGTCGGGTTGGTGTCCCGACTAATAATCGTAACTCAGCTAAAGGGAGTGCGAGGGAGATAGATATATAATTTTTGATTGCGTATAACTTTTTAATGAATCGTCCGATTTGAAAAATGTCTTCTACATTTCGATAGGTATAAATATACACAACAAAATTGCATTTATACTTTTCGGAAATCTTTAAAGATGTGGGCGCAGGACCCATTTTAAAATCGTTAGTGGGCGATTGTGGGCGTTAGAGGGGGCGTGGCGCTCGGCTAAAATAAACTTGCGCTGCGTAGGAAGCCCAAGAATATGCGTGGAAAATCTCAACCTTCTAGCTTTTGTAGTTTCTGAGATCTCAGCGTTCATACAGACGGACAGACGGACAGACAGACAGACGGACAGACGGACAGACGGACAGACGGACATGGCTAGATCGACTCGGCTAGTGACCCTGATCAAGAATATATATACTTTATGGGGTCGGAAACGCTTCCTTCTAGCTGTTACATACTTTTGCACGAATCTAGTATACCCTTTTACTCTACGAGTAACGGGTATAACAAGAAAGGAAGCTAGCTTCGGACAGCCGAATCTTATATACCCTTGCAGATACTTCCTATTAATTTACAAATCGCAAAAATGGTAAGTTTCCTATTATTTCTCATTAATTTTCCTATCGTTCCTATGGCAGCTATATGATATAGTCGTCCGATTTTGAAAAAATTTTATTCGAAATTCAGAATTAGATAAAAAATTACATTTCCAAAAGTAGGATGTTATAGGTTCAAAAACACCCAAGATATAATTTTTTTACATTTTTTTTCCCGATTGTTCCTATGAGAGCTATATGATATAGTTGTCCGATCCGGCTCGTTCCGACTTATATACTACCTGCAATAGAAAGAAGACTTTTGGGAAAGTTTTATCCCGATAGCTTGAAAACTGAGAGACTAGTTTGCGTAGAAACGGACGGACAGACGGACGGACAGACGGACATGGCTAGATCGACTCGTCTAGTGATGCTGATCAAGAATATATATACTTTATGGGGTCGGAAACGTCTCCTTCACTGCGTTGCAAACTTCTGACTGAAATCATAATACCCTCTGCAAGGGTATAAAAATATTAAATTAACCTTCATTTCTGTTCAGAGAAAAATAATATTAATAAAATTTTTCTTTAATCCGATAGAGGTGGCAAAACGTCCTTCGTATGGCCAAGGCAACCATATCAGTTCCCCACCATCGCCGTACAAGAGGAGGACCTATCACAAGCCGTATCCATATCCACCGGAGATATCGCGACCTCCGCCACCGGCCTCCGCCTCACTGATCGCCCTCGATCGCAGCTCATCATCGGAATCCGAGTGGGTTGTGCATCCCGGCTGCCACTCCAACTGCATGACGGACTCCAAGGGTGTCCAGGGAGTCACTTCGCGGCTGACTGGGGTGGAGAGCATCCAGCTCTGCTCGTATCGCATTCAGCCCTGCGAACGTTTGCAGACGGCAGCTGAGTTTGCCGAGCAAACCTGCGCACGATATCGCCAGAAGGTGCGGGGATTATCCGGTCATGGGGCCCAGATCTCCGCCAGCATCGATGAGCCGGATCGCAGCTGCCGTGTGGGCTGTCAGGACGAGTTCATTAAGTACCGGTACTACCTGGTCAACGGCCGCAATGGACACTTTCCGCCCGGCACTCGCTGTTCGCCGGTGGGCAAAAGATATTGCGTATACGGCAAGTGCCTGGAATTTGGCGACGATGATATGCCGCTGGAGAAAACCCACATCAGTTTGGGCCAACTGAGGACGCGCCGGAAAAGAAGTTTGCCCTTCAATGATTTGCTCAACTTAACGGAGATACAAAGCACTGTGAACCTTAAACAAACACCTTTGGGTAACTACTTTATACTACTTTTTGCCATAAATACAAACTTATATAAATATATTCCTTAATTATTCCTTAGATGTCTCCGCCGAACACATCGAATTCACCCAACCCATTCACGTCTCCGCAGACGAACTGAGTAGCAAAAGCCTATAGCCCAATAGCTTCCTGGCCACAATTCCCTTAGTCGATTAAGTTCTAAGCTAGCTTAAGTTCAAGGCTGGCCAAAAAAACTGCCTTTGAAGTATATATGAAATAATAAACGATAAGGAGATAAATATTATATTATATTCGTAATGGTTTTTAATGTTAGGAATTTAATGGATGTCATTCGGTTACTTAATTGCAATGCAAAAAACATTGACGGATAATGATAGTGAAATTGAAATTGAAAATTCGTTTGCGGGGACCGGGACCCGCCTTCACTTTTCAATATCGCCTACACTTCAAACCAATCAAGCGATTTTCCTCCTTCGGCAATATTTGTATGGGGGCTCTCTTTTTTTGGCGTTCGCATGCAAGCGATGGCAGCAGTTACCAATACTCGATACCAAAAAGGGTAACAGCAATCAGCCAAACATTCGAACACACACAAAAAACACGACGACTGGCAGTGGTGTGCGTGAGGGGAAAAATTAGATAAAACACCTACGAAACGCTGAATATGCCGCAGTCTGCAGGGAAAGCGCGCGCCGTGCAAATCGAATCGAAACGAAAAAAACGAAGGACCGAAAAAAATAGAAGGAAAAGCCAAGCGCGGAAAGCGTCGGAAAAATCTGAAGTTGGAAAAGTGAAGTGTGTTGCAAACGCCGTGTGATTTGTGATTGGTGATTTGTGTCCAGATGACCTGTGACTTTTCCTTCGGGCTGTGACATCCTGCCAAGTTAAATGCAACTCTAGAGTCCCATAAATAATGCCTAGATCGTTTATAGACTCATGTGAAGTGCCATCAAAAATATTTAATTGAAGACACATATAACCAGGCAATTAGTTTTAACCTCCGCCTAATTGGCTTAGACATTTTCAAGGCCCCTCTGGGACAAATTAAAATTTGGGTCAGCGGCTTCTTTTTTTTGGGTTAGGGACAGGAGTGACGAAAAACCTTGGAAGCTACTCACGCAGCTCTCCTGGGAAACTGTGTCAAGTTGGTCTTAAATTTTTGACCACACGCAAGTGCGTACTACATATATTTAGTATATATTGTAGTGGAATTACTCATCAATAGGGCTTCGAGCAGCACGTGCTGTCTTTCTCTCAAGGACCTTGGGGCAGGACGCTTTGACCTGTACCTCCTTCATGTACAATGGGCACTACTTTGTGCTCCCATTCCGATAATATGGCCATTCGAATTCGAAAAATCGATTCGTTTCGCAGCTAATTGGTTTGTTTTCAACGTGTTTTTTTTTTTTTTGGGCACTAACCCTGCAGCAGGCAATGTCCTGGTTCAGGCGTAGTGCAAAAACAGGTCCTGGCAAATTGTAAAGCAAATAAATAAAACATAGAACCCGCATGTGAGACACACAGGTTGTGACTCTCAGTGACGCCCCCAGTCCAAGCCCCACTTTGTCCCCGATTTCCCGGGCTTTCCATTGAATATGCACACACGCAAGGAGCCCAACAACTGGTCAGTCCAGCTGGGCAGGTGCAATTGTCCATTCAGACGTCGTTGAACTCGTCAGGACAACGGTTCATCCAGCGCTGGGACTTTGGAATTTCAGAAACCCATCCTTTTCAGTGCCAAGTGAACGGATATAGCCCATGAATCACGACTGGGGAGATGTGCAGAGTCGCGGACTCTAGTAACTCACTGGATTAAAGTACAACAAAAAGTTCTCAAAACACTAGCAAACTATGCCTCCGAAGAGGCGAAGGAGGTTTCAGGGACTCTACTACCATTCATCGCCACCCAAAGGTGAGTACGAAGTGAATACATTCATATTCATTCATCCTAATTGAGGGAAATTGTGGTGACAACACGCCAAGGAAAGGTGCTGAGAAGTTCTGTGTTTTGTGTGGCCAAAATTTGCATATTGCGTGCCGTTAAGGGTGTCAGCTCAACAAGTTACAATGCCAGGGGATCCGCGCGGTTGATTGCCACATTAAGTGGCAAACACTAATGCGCCATTTCCGTGGCACTTTCGAGCGGTTTTTATTGCCACTCAATCGTGTGTGTGAGTGGAATGGAAATTTAATGATTCACTGCGGCCAACTAATTTACATGTCACCGCTCGAAAGGCAGTCGGAAAAATTCCTCAAGGTGTTTCGGCCCAAAAATAGATGGAGCAGAAGACCTTGACACATGAGCTATGTGGGCGTAAGGGCTAAGAAAATAAACGGAAAGGTTCTGGCTAACAATTTCCCGTGGTAGAGGAAGTCTCCTGAAAGTATGCTTGGTTTTTCAAGGAATGCTAATGGAAGACCTCGGCATTTTCACATATAAGAAGCAATTTTTCCTTAGAGAAAAGTATGCAATGGAAATTCTTCCATTTCTATTCAAAGATAATAAAGAAGACCTCGCCACTTAAGGTAAAATCTAAATGGAAATTTGGAAGAATTTAACTTATACTTTGCCATCGAAATACCGTAGAATTTTTCCCCAAGGAATGCAAATCAAGCTCGAATCAGTCAAATGGCATTTCTATTTCCACATATTTGTTTTGGTGGAACTCTAGTGAAAATGTTGACTCTTTTGCTTTATATAACACACCACAAACACATCCAAGAGTTATTTATTCATGTCTGAAGTTGAAAGTGCGCGAACAGGACGCAATTATTCCTCCTTGCGACCATTTCGCTTTGACCACAACACACCGAGAAGCCCGAATTCAACACCTTTCGTTGCGGCCAACAAGAATTAGTTGGCCAACGCGACTCAAGCTGGCCAGACGCAAAAAATAGAAACAGCTAGTAAGCAGGGAGAAATTAATCGAAAGGCAAGTAGGCGGGGTACTGTAATTCCTTGAACTCGTCACATAGCCACAAATTTAACTATACATTTTGGTAATCCCTAATCTCAATTCCCAACATATCGAATCTAAGCCAGGATGTTTGCTCCCATTGCAGTCATGCCGATGAATGGACAGGCGGGTGGACAAAATGGACGCAAGCGTCGCGATAACGAAGGTGCGTATTTGTGAATGGATGGTGTTGAATTTCACATCCAGGTGTTTGATTTCCAACTGCCTCACTGAATCTTTAATTTAACGGGGCGGCAGAGGGGGCGTTACCCACTTCGGCAGTGCGAAAAAGTTTGGCGCCGACCTTGAAGCATTTCAAGTTGGCAAAGTTTTTCCCTTTTCGCCCGGCGGAAATTGTCTCAAGTTTCCACTAATGCCACTTTAAGCGGGCTGAAGCCGGAGTCACAAACTTGAACATTCATTGCATTTTATTTTCGTTTTAATTTAGTTTTCAGTTTCGGCTTTTCTTGGCTTTTTTCGGCAAATTGCATGCTAGCACGAACGAGGGCGAAAATGAATTGGAAATCGCAATCGGGTCGCGGATCGTGGGACTTGACTCTTCTGGCTTCTGGGTTTTGGGGGGCGGCAAAATTAATTTCCACGTTTTCAATTTCCATTTCTCGGCTAATAGATTTCTCGGTGAAGTTATCCACCATTCGGATCTGGATCCACGAGAAGGACATTGGCAAGCTGACGCGCATTTTGTGGGCGGGCATGGGCAACCGCCTCAGTCAGCAGGCCAGCAACAATGGGCGTGTGAAGCGCTTCCTGGCCGCCGTTCCCCATGTCATGGTGAGCAGGAACTATAATACCTGTTTAACACCCAAGGTGATACATAAAATGTATACAACAGAATGCCATCAAGGATCTGCATCAGGCGGTAATCGACAACAATCTGGAGACCGTTCAGGCACAGCTGGAGCCGCCGGTTCCCCACGCACTGGTCACCTGCAAGGATGGCAACGGCCTCAACATTATCCACAAGGCCGCCGGGCTGGGCCACACCAAGATCCTCGAGTATCTGGTGGGCATTTGGCCCGAAGGCGCCCACGAGACAGACATCACCGGGAAGACGGCGCTCCACTGGGCCGCCAGTGCCAAGAACAACATGAGGTGCTACACGCTGCTCACTCAAGCGGGCTGCGATGAGGAGGCCGTCGATTATGTGAGTGGGTTGCAGGGTTTTTTTTGAATCGAAGGTGGTTTTGTAGGACACAAATTAGGGTCATTTAAGGTTATTTTAATAACCCTATTTTAGTTGGTAGGACTCGGGGGTTCTTTTAGGGAACCGAAACCGATATTACTTCCAAAAGGAATTATTATTGGTAATTGCTGAAAATTAACGTGGTTATTTCTTTGGTATAAAAACAATTTTTTTTAGACCGACATCATTTTGAACATTTACTAAGAGGATATAAGTATTGAATATTGCCGTAAACTGTGGTTATATTTATTAGAAAAGATTCATATTTTTAAAAGCAAGAGTTTCCGAAAATGTGTTTTCCATCAATAGAAGTTTTTAAGTTTTTGCTTGATTTACTTGAGTTACTTGATTTTTGGCAAAATTTATTATAGACAATTTCTATTACAAACCTGGTTATAAGGCTAAAGTTTCAAGAACTATATATTAAGTAATTAACTTTTGACCAGAAATCGATGTGTATAGAGTGGTTTCTAGATGGTGGCTTTTGTTTGGTATTTTTGTTCGGCCAGCAATTAAAATGATTCATTGCGGCAATTTCAGAAAATGAAAACTCCCTCGTACTACCGCCACAAGCCGCACGAAATCGAGCGCGCCTTCCTGGTTTATGTGCCGGATGCGCCGCGCGTCTCCCCCGACAGCGCCACCGATTGGGAGGCCTTGAGCGATGACAGTGGCGCGGTGGACAACGGAGCGGGTGGAGATGCCGGCTCCAAGGTGAGTGGATTGTCTTTCACCAAAACCAAGCCAAACCAAACCAACTCCCTCTTCTCCTCACAAGAAACTGGACATCAAGGTGGCGCCGTCCGTGAACGGTCGCAAATCGCTTGACGACAGCCTTGAGAACACCTCGGAGCTGGACACCAACGATGGGTAAGTGGGTGGGCGAATGGATGGAGTCATCAGGTATCAGGCTGACCGCTTGGTGGGTCTTAGACCCCAAAAATTAGCCCTAGGTTTGGCTGCCTTTTGCTGGCTAAATGCTGCGCTACCTTTTTATGATTTCTGTGTTTTTGGTGTTTGTGTTGGTTTTTTTTTTCGTATGGGGCATGGCTTTGAGAGAGATTCTTTTGCATTTTGAAATCGCAGTACGAGTGCCAATGACGACGATGACGATCTGTCCAAGGCGGATGTGGAGCCGGAAGCGGAAGTCGTCTCGCCATTGCAGCGCCGACCGGAAACGCCGGCCACATTCAACACGATCAATGGCGATGGCGACGGCGATGGCGAAGAAAGCGAGACCGAGGTAAGTAATCCCGCCTCTTTCCCTACTTTAGTTTTCCCATTTTCCTTTTTTGGCTTTCAATGGCTAGCGGTTTGCTTGCACGTTTTGAAAATGGCTTTCGGTGTTTTTCGCAATTAAATTACTTAGCTTCTTTTTGGGGGTCGGAGACTCTGTGAAAGTAAGCCATTGTCGGCGAGAGCCTTTCCCTTTCACCTTTCTCTCGGCGGCACTCGCTGCGCTTTTTGTTTAGTGCCCCCAAGAATCCCCCAATTGCTGTACATATACATAGGCTGAGATCGAAGGACCGTAGTCGGAAACTGTTGAATCACTTGGAAAGCAATCAGTCGACAATTGTTTACTTTTACAGAATATTGCAAGAGCTGTAAGCGCAGATGCAGGAGGAGGCGGAGAGGAGGAGGAGGAGGCTGAAGGAAACGGAGTTGGGCAGGACGAAGGAGAAGGAGGTGGTGAAGGAGGAGGAGAAGCGGCGATCGTAGAGAATGGCGGAGATCATGGTGAGGCCCCGGAGGAGGAGAAGCCACCCGAGGAGTCTGCTGCCGATGGTGAGATCGAAGGAAACAAAAAGACTGAAGGGGAACCGGAGGAGGAGGAGGAGGCAGCACCTGCTGCTTCTGAGGAGGCGGTGGATGAGCCGGAGAGCCCCGAAGAGAACGGAGCGGAACCGGAAGTGGCCGCCATGTCCGCCGGGGACGAAGAGAAGGAAGCCGAATCGGAGAACGACAACGATGACGACGATGAGGTACAGATGGGCGTGCTCTAAGTGTCCTCGAACGTTTTGTAGTTTATTCACGTTTATTGTGTGTGCCGTTCGCTCAACCCATTTACCCCCCTCTTCAATATGTGAACCTGTAAAATGAAAAGCAACGCAAAAATCAAAAATCCAAAAAAAAAAACAAAGAAAATAAGCTAAAAATTCCAAAAAAGTAATACCCTTATCAATCAGCTGCAGCAGGCACTCAAATTCCATTCATACTAATTTGTTTTACCACTGCAAGAGCCACAGCAACAGCAACTTCAACTTCAGCCGCAACCCAATCAGCAGCAAAATGCGAAACTTTAGCAATCAACTTCAACATAAGCCCGCTTAGATAATGAAATAACCGAACCGAATAGTGAAATTCTTTATATATCTCTATACATATACATACATACCTACCATATATACGATATATCTTTTGTAAAGCAAGTGTTATGTGCCCCTCTTTCGAAATACAGTTTGAATAACAATATATCTAGCCGTAGCCAATATAGTAACAGTAACCAATTAAAAATGGAATGCAAAACCTGCAACTTGTGTCTTTTGTTTATCGTTTTTCTATTGCACACCCCGAACAGAGCAGACCTGCCCAACAATCCGTTATCCGTAACCCGTAATCCGTAACCCGTAATCCGTGTGTTTGTTTCCATTTCCGTTTCCGCATCCGTTGTTTCCCTTTCAGTTTCACTTGTGTGTGCCATTGCCTTAGATCGAATCAATGCCAGTGTCTGCCCCCAATTTGTGCCTATCGATTGGCTGAAATCAGCAGCTGTTTACCCACAGATAGACTTTATAATAATGCACTCACTCCGACCGATATATATAGAGTACCTACATTCATATGTGCAGGCCAAGTCGCTCGCTTTCACTTTCGCCCGCCTGACATTTCGACTGGGAGACTGAATGGGAGGTTGAGACTGAACTGAGGTTGAGGTTGAGTCGGGTGCGGAGTCGGTTCTCAACTGTCAGAGGCATCCAGTTGTTGGTGGGTCCGAATGGGAACTGAACATGCAAACGTCAAAACAGTTGCAGGCATTAGATATTTGATATTTGATACATGGCAAATATACCATATATTGCATTTCCCCCTGCGATTTGTTAAAGATACTGGTGGGCGGTGTTTATGGCAGTTATAATAACTATTTTCAGCTGCATTTCAATAAAAAAAACTGGGCAAACGAGGCGTATGCGTGATATTGCGTATACGCCATACGTGGACTTTCGAACGAGTTAATTTAGATTGCTTGACAGGCCAATTAATTTAAAATGGTTTATGGCTTAATTCTTATTTTATAGGGGTTCAGAACTGGCATTGTCACCCGTAGCAGCACTTAGTCCTTGTAAAAAACGTAAATGTAACCATGTTTAATGTATTTATGTGACTCTGCACCTTGTAGCCATGTCCAGTTATCACAGTCCAAAGAAATAAACATAAATTCTTAAGTGGTGAAATAAATTTGAACAGGATGTTGTAGCGTCGGACAGCAGAGGAGGAGCGCCGCCGGAGGATCAGCGGCCAGGAGGTGGAGCAGCAGCGCCGGAGGACGACGGCACCGAGTCCCTGACATCGGCCATGGCCATCGAGGGCTTTGTGCAAGGTGCCCCCGAGGATTTTACAGTTCAGTCTCAAACTGCAGTTGATGAAGTATACCATGCTAACCGTTTCTATCTGCCTATCTATATCTATAACTATCGCCCTCTGTTGCTGGCTCACCTGGCTTGTTTTTGGGTTTGCACCTGAGTCACCCATAATGCAAACCATCGAGTTCCTTTTACGCCCAGTATCATCTCTACTCCATCACCCTTAGCGCTTTCGATAATGCACCACGTTGTCCTTGTATCGCAAGCATCACTATCGCCATCTCATTGGAGATGTTGCTCTCTCGTTTTTCCGCAGGACGAACGCATCAAGCGGATCGTGGAGTCCGGAGACTTGGAGCAGCTGGCCGAGATTGTGCTGAATGGCGAGGGCGGCAGTCTGGTGGGCCTAAAGTCGCAGGAACCGGAAATACAGGCCTTTCTCAACAACGTACCCAGCTATATGGTAAGCTAACCGAGGGAACGGAAGGAAGGAAGAGCCACTTTCTGGCGCACTAATTACGGCATGCATCATATTTCCCACTTTCCCATCGGCAGGAGAAAATACATCGCGTGCACGACGCGGCACGTGACGGAGGTTTGCTGGCACTGCAGCAGGCTCTGGATCGCCGGAAGTTTGCCATTGCAAAGAACGACATATCGCCCAACGGCTCCACGCCGCTGCACGTGGCCGTCCTCTTCGGCCACACGGGTAGGTTTGCAAGTTCCTCCGCCGATTTGTACTTCTATTTATATGATTGGTTTCCCCCCATCCACGAGTCAGATATCGTTCGCTACCTGGCGTCGCGTTTTCCGGAGACCATGACCATTACGGATAATGACGGGCGAACGGCGCTTCATTACGCAGCCACAATTAAGGACAACGGCCACTTCTACAACATGCTCCTGCAGTTGGGCGCCAATCCAAAAGCACTGGACAAGGTGAGTAGTAATATTTGTAGTACTTGGGGTTACAAAATATGCAGTAATATTTTGCGGGGTGCTGTAAAAATTCACAATGATTTTTTGGTGGATTGTTGGATTTAAAAACCCCAGAAACACTTATCATTCGGTTCTCAGGAATCAGTAGATTTCGTGATATTCCTTGTTATAAATTTCTTCAAACTTCTAGGAAATGATTTCGTATGATCTACTTATTGGGTAATTTTGAAAGTCTTGCTAAAAGTTGGAAAAGATTCCTGTAATTTTCCATTTATGCAATATTTAATATGCAATAAATATTGCTATACATTTACTTAAAAAACTTTATAATGTATTGTATTATGAACTTAAAAACTGTATCTCCTTTTTTTGAGTGTGTCAATTTTCCCAAATTGAACCAATAATACAGTAGTTTGAAGAGAAAACCCAATCGTATAGTAATAATAAATAGAACCGAGCCATTCCTTGTGAGTAAAGGCAGCTGTAGAGTCGCCCAATGAAATTTCAAATGACAAATGGAAATTGTTTTTAAATTACTCACCACAAAACCGAACTGAAAAGTGGGCCAAGGTCCCACTTGACTTTCAAATGTCTGCTGCACCGCTACAGTAATCAATATGCCATAAATTCGTGATTAGCCCAAAAATAAATAATAAACCGAGTTTGATTTAAAATTCAATAACCAAACACACGCAGCTGGGCCACTCAGCCGAGTTTTACCTGGACAAGGACAAGGCGAAAAACATTCTCAACTACACCGAGCTGCTCAATATTTTCGGGGCGGAGGAACTGGAGAACCAGTTGCTCAACGACCAGGGTAAGGAGACCATGGGTGAGCCACCGTGGGCCACCGGCAGCTGTTTTCAAGCGTTCCAACTTGACCGTTCACCAGCACCACCACCCACATCAAGCCACCCAATTCACCACCCCATTCCCCAGGATACCGCTACATGCCGCTTTGCTTTGTCTGTGGCTTTAGTGGCGTTTTTGTTTTCACACTCGCTTTCGCTGCCCACACACGAACATACATACACACACCCACACGCGTATCGTGGGTAAACCGAAATAATTAAATACATTTGTTTTGCCAAGTCAAACATCCGGCTGTGGGTGTGTGTGTGTGTGAGTGTGTGCCACCAGGGGGAGGGAGGGGGCGTGGTCGGAGTTGGGAACTATAAACTAGGGGCTAACTGAACTCGGCGCGAGCTTGGGCCAAGTCAGTCATCGATTTTCAGTCGCCTAGTGCACACACTGCGTATACGTGTTGGATACTCCGCGCACTCGATTAAGGTCCGCTAAAATGGAGGGAAATCGCAATGAGTTTTTCAACGAAATCATCGGCAATATTGATGAGATCTTTGGTATGTAGGCACAACAATCCCCTTCCCGCCTCCAGCACCTGCGCCTTTTTACTCTCAATCACCTCTCAATCACCCCACAATCCCTTCATTCGTATCCATCATGATCTCGGTGTTCGTATCTGTGTACCTCTGTGTCTTTGTCTACGCTTTGGTGTGTGCGTGTGTTGATTGATAAACGTCAAAAAAAAAAACCATTATAACCTTTGCTGCTCCGGAAATCCACGAAATCCATGAAATCCATGGGCAGTTCCCGACGATCTGCACAGTGCCCGGCGGGAGTTGCAGGACGGCGAGATCTCGAGGACCCTGGAGCGCTGCTACAGCGTCATTTCGGAATCGGGCAAACTGCTGAGCGGTACGACGGCATCGGCTCTATCGCATCGCAAGCCCCTGAGCGCCTCCTCACTGCAGCTTTCGGTGACCAGCTATCTGAGCCGATTTCTGAAGCGCGGCGTCTACGACAAAATCAAGCGACGCCAAACCCGACTCGATCACAATCTCTTCGACGTTTTGTGGCCTGCGATGCGGAAGACCTCGAAGGCTCGCCACCTGGAGGAGGACATCAATAGCGGGATTATAGCGCCAGATTTCGATGTGTTTGTGGTGTTCCAGGAGTTCCTGGTGCCGCTGCTGAAGGATATGCATTGCCTGAGTATCGATGCGGATTTCAAGCCGCAACCTCGACTGGCCTACTTCCCAATGGACAATGGGGAGCGACTCAATACGGCTGCCTTTGTCTTTGACGATGAATCCCTGCTGGTCACCCGTTGTCTGGTCGAGGTGTCCAGGAATCTGGATCAGCTGGAACTGCCCTTGAACCTGACCATTGGCCAGCTGGAGCAGGCGGAGCGTCTGATGATGAGCAAGATATTCACCACGCACTTTGCCGACGCCATTGGCGAAACGGATTCGGGCAACTACTACACGATGACCGAGCTCTTGGAGGCCGATTCGGAGGTCACGATGATGCTAAGCAGTCTGGGCCTGATGATTCCCCTACTCGACACCCAGGATCTGGTGCAGGCTGCCGAATCGACGGCCTTCAATGGAGCCCTTTGGCCTTACGGCAGGGGTGTTTTTGTTAATTCAGCCAACAATTTGGCAGTGTGGTTGAATTGCCAGGAGCACTTGAGAATCATCTCCACCAGCAGCAGCAAGGAACCAGCCGATATGGGAGCTGCCTATACGAGAGTGGGCAGGGCCATCTCGTATCTGGAAACGCAGCTGCACTTTAAGGAGAGCTACCTCCTGGGCTACCTCCAGTCGAGGCCCAGTTACCTGGGCACTGGCCTCAAGATGACCACCATCGTTAAGTTGACCAATCTGATGAAGGAGATGGACAACCTGCGGCACTTGTGCTCCGTGCGGGGTTTGAGTATGGTGACCAATCGCCTGTCGAAACTTACCGTGCGCCTTGTGAATATGCAGAGCATGGGAGTGGTGGAATATGTCCTGTTCCAGGACTACTGCACTGCAGTCACCAATATCCTGTCACTGGAAAAGGACATGTCGCTCACGAACTCCAAGCACATTGCCACCATGCTGGTGAAGATCTTCAAGCGCAAGAAGAACAGCATTGTGGATCGTAACTAGAAGGAAGGTCTAAGGGCCAGCTCAATGTATATATAGAAAAGAAAAGAATACCTCAGCACACTGAACTCTAAATGCTTATACTAAATCCGATCGATACCCGTGCCCTCAGCTTAAACCTCCTCCGCTTACGCTGCGTTTAAAGTTAATCCGCAATCGTAAGTTCCGCCTTGAGTTACACCTACATAGCCGTATCCGTAAACGTGTCTTTCTCGAAGACTGTGATCCTGTCACGATTTTAATATGATTTGCAAAGTCTCTTGAGTTCCACCATCGGCATCCTCATCTTCGTTTGTTTACCCCTGATTCCCGTGCCAGAAAAAATGCTCCCCCTTCTCGCTTTGTGTACATAGATTACTGGGACTCGATCCACTGAATGTGACCGCAGATATCGTGGCCCTTTGGAGTGACTAATCCAGCTTGTTTTCCACACAGGTCAGGCGCAGCCAGTGAGCTTTCAGGCCAATCCCATCTTCAAGACCGAGCAGGGCAAATATCTGGCTAATTGTAAGTATTCTGGAGTTTTGCAGGTTGTTAAACAACTCATTTAAGATAAGAATTACTAAGCAAAGCTCACAAAATGGAAAATTGTTATCTGAAAAATTAGTTCTTCACTTGCTAGGCCTACACACAAAAAAAAACTTGGTAAAATCAACTGTAATAATTGTCAAACAGGCCCCAATCAGCAAAATTGTCAATTCTACTAAGTAAATAGTCATTTCACAACAACAAAATACACACAATTAGCAAAGACACAAACCCAAAGCAAAAACAAAATACACGTAACTATTTTAATAGTTACGTAACTATCTTTGTTGGTCAATTTTACCAAGCAAATTTTTTTGTGAGTATTATTAACTTGGGTTGCCTTTAAAGAGAATTTTCTATTAAACTTAAATACTTAGATTATCCCTAGGTTATAATAGATGATTTAAAATACATTTATCACTTACAAACTCTCTCTCTTTTAGCTCTCGCCGATCCTCTGATTAAGGCCCTCACCGAGATAGCCAACAAGCGACCCAAAGATCCCGTGGCCTACCTGACCAACTACCTCCAGCACTTTATGGGCGATCGCAAGCCAATGACCGAGGTGCAGGTCCACTCGGGTAGCAGCAAGGCCAGTACCAGTTCCACCTCCACCCTGGCGTTGGTCAAGTCGAATGCCAGCTCTAGTCAGAGGATGGCCAGCACTCGAAATGGTCCAGGTCCTACGGATCTCATCGAACAGGACGCACGATCGTTGGTCGAGGAGGAGGATGCGGAAGGAGCGCTGGCGGTTCAGCATATGGAGGAGCGGGATGAGCACGGCCAGAGTATGCTGCATTTCGCCTGTGCCCGCTCCCATCGGCGGGGAGCTCTCTACACTCTAATCGAGGAGTCGGGCATTGACATCACCTACCGGGATGAGCTGTACCGAACCGCCAGGGATGTCTCGCTCCAAGCAAATCAGCCCAACAATGCCGCCGAGATCGATCGATATGTCCTGGCTCAGGCTGTTATAGGTAGGTTAACTATAGGTTGTTCTCCTTATAGGCTATATATATAACTCTCTTTCTGAACCAGGTGACGTGGAACCCTTCGAACAGCTCGCTCTGCAAGGCTACGATCATATTTTAGACATCGAAGACGAAAGCGGTCAGTCCATTGTAGATGTGGTGCAATCGCGACAAAATGAAGCTCTCGGCGAGTTCTTGGCCAATCTTCGGGGCCTGGAAGAGGCTCGCGAAGAACTCCATCAGATGATCAGGGATAACAACATGGAACGCGTGTTGGAGCTGACCGATGTTGCCAATGCCAAGTGGTTGATTAAGACCAAGAATTATTATGGTAAGAAAAGAGGAGCTGTCTTGAAGAGATTATCTTGATATTATCTTAATCAAAACACCAGGTCGTACCGCCTTGCACATAGCTGTGCTAAAGGAGTCCGAGGAAATGGTTCAGCGCTTGGTGAAAATCTGTCCTGAGGCTCTAAAAATCCCCGATAATGTGAGTATATTTACGAGAATTTTAAATCCAGTTCTAAGCTTTTCCCATCCCCAGTTGGAGCGCACTGTTTTGCACTATGCCATGGGAACCAACGCGCTGGAGAGTGTTAGTCGGATTTTGATCCAGAACGGGGCCAAGCGGACCGCCAAGGACCTAAAAGGACGACAGCCAAGCTATTACTTCATCAACAAAGCGGATATTCTACGCCTGCAGGAGGAGGAGGAGGAGAGCCGCTGAGGGAACGGGTTAAGCAATATGTATAGTCTAGAGTACTCTAAGCCGTTATATAGTCAAATAAAGTACAAGTAAATAGAAATACGCTATCATTCGCTATCATGGGTGGCGAGTATGGAGTTTCCAGTGAGAGGTAAGCATTGCCATAAATATACTGAAGAATTCGCGCAGAGCAACCCTATGTACCAATTACGAATGCTTTAAGGCGCCACTGTATTTCGATCACATCCGGATTACATGCGCCTTAGCACCTTAAAAGCCATTCGTTGTCTGCATGCCCGCTTATCCGTAGTGGAACCGCTATCGCTCCTATTTATAAGTACAAACCATCGGTTTCATGTTATTATTTTCATTATCAATATCTTTTTTATGAAGTGCCCTGATTTGCTGTTCATTAAGCGGGTTTTACTTGAAAGCTGATGACGGTTTCGCATGGCTCTTCAATAAAATAGAAGGTGTAAAGCGACCTGTTTGCATTTGAATAGTTGAGTTGTATTTAAATCTTAAGCGTGTGCGGTACAATTTAAAGTAGTGCGGATATGACAGCGGAAATCAATAAGGGTTAGTTGTCCTTAAAATATTTTAAGGATCCAAGTTAAAGTTAAACACATGACAGAAAAACACTCGTGATGGACTTTTAAAATTTAAAAAATTTAATGAAAAATGCAATATTTATTAAATAAATAATATTCTTTGGTAACATTTAAATACGTTTAGTACTTTCTATAATATTAGCATGTTGATAAGAATATTTTCGGTAAACTTAATTCTTCATTTTGCAACGTGGCAACTGTTTTTCGATTATATAATTTTAAAAAGTTATTGTGTAATGTCTTATAGGTTAATTTTTTATCACAAGCTATTATATAATTTCCAACTCGATTGCATACTTCATTCTAACGCCCAAAACCGTGCTCTTAATTGAAATCTAATTATCTTGAAGGGCTATTGAAATCATTCAATTACTTAATCATATCGTAAGGCGTCTTAAATCTTTGACTTAAGTGGTCAACCGTTTTCCTAGAAATACACATGTGATGAAACCCGCCCATCGATGTGGATTACTTTGTGCTAGAGTGTGATACTTATATGATTTATTTACAATCGAATAGGTCCGGTGCTTGGCCAGCGTCATTTGCAGGCCTTTCTTCTCTTCTCGGCGATCACGGTGAATTTCATGACCAAGTTTAATGCTGGAGTGGCGGTTGTGGCGATGACCGATGCCGAAAATACCAACCCAGACTTTCCAGTAAGTCTGAAAAGGGGTGTTCCGAAAAGCATTCAATAAATTCCTTGAATTTTGCCAGGAGTACGATTGGAACGAAATGGAGCGCTCCTACATCCTCTCCAGCTTCTTTTGGGGCTACATATTAACGCAATTTCTGGGCGGATGGCTGTGCAGGCGCTATGGAGCAAGGATCACCATGTTTGCATCAACCTTGGGATCAGCAGTGCTGGTTGTTCTGGTGCCTTGGTGTGTTTCCTGGGGTGGCTGGCAGGCCTACTGTGGCCTCCGGATGGCAATGGGACTGTTCCAGGGCTTCGTGTTCCCCTGCATCCACGCCCACTTGGCCAACTGGTGTCCGGTGAACGAGCGAAATCGGCTGGGAGCCCTGGCCAACATGGGCATTGACTGCGGAACCCTGGTATCCATGTTTGCCAGTGGATTGATTGCTGCCTCCAGCATCGGCTGGCCCGGAATCTTCTACGTATCGAGTGGTGTGGGATTTTTTTGGTGCATTATGTGGTGGTTCCTTGGAGCCGACACTCCCGGGGAATGCAAGTTAATTAGCGATGCGGAACGTATCTACATTGAGGATTCAATTAGCTCCAGTCACAAGGCGAAGGAGTCACAAGCCGGTGCCATTCCGGTTCCTTGGAAGGCCATCTGGACCTCGGTGCCTTTCTGGGCCTACATGATCACCAAATGCTGTCAGTCATGGGGATTCTCCACCCTCCAGACCGAGATGCCTGCCTACATGAATGGTGTCCTGCTGATGGACATGAAGAAAAACGCCCTTTATTCGGCGTTGCCCTACTTCGCCTCGTGGGTGATGGCGGTCGTCTACCTGGTCATCGCCGATATCCTGCTGACCAGGGGCATTATGTCCATCACTGGCATTCGCAAGACTATAAATTCGATTGCGTTCTTTGTGCCCGCGGCTGCGCTGATTGGAGTCGGCTTCCTGGACAGCGACCAGAAGACCCTGGCAGTGGTGCTGATGTGCACCAATGTGGGAATCAACGCTGGTTCCACAATTGGCAGTACCATAAACACCATCGACTTGTCACCGAACCATGCTGGTATTTTAATGGGAATCGCTAATACGGCGTCAAACGTTATACCCATTATAACGCCCCTCCTCGTGGGAATTATGGTTAAAGATAATGTGAGTATGAATAATTGCTCTACAAGTAACAGGTATAATTACCTGTACATGATTTTACCATCTAAATTATATCCCTTACCGTAGAAAAATGTAAGACAAAAACTTTTTAAAACAAGAAAGGAAGCTAGCTTCGGCCAGCCAAAGCTTATATTTCTCATTAATATTCCGATCGTTCCTATGGCAGCTATATGATATAGTCGTCCGATTTTGATCAAATTAAAATTGAAATTCGGAAATATTTAAAAAGAGTCATATCCTAGAGTAGAAGATAATACAATAAAAACCAAAGAAGCTAGAATTTATTTCCTATTACTTTTCCATTAATTTACCGATCGTTCCTATGGCAGCTATATGATATAGTAGTCCGATTTTTTAAATATTTAATTCGAAATTCAGAAATATTTAAAAAATAACATCCCCAAAAGTAGAAGGTAATATTTCAAAAAACACCGAAGCTAGAATTTTTTTAACGTTTTCTTTTCCGATCCTTCCTATGGGAGCTATAAAATATAGTTGTCCGATCCGGTTGGTTCCGACATATATACTACCTGCAATAGAAAGAACACTTTTGGTAAAGTTTCATCCCGATAGCTCAAAAACTGAGAGACTAGTTTGCGTAGAAACAGACAGACGGACAGACGGACGGACAGACGGACGGACAGACGGACAGACGGACATAGCTAGATCGACTCGTCTAGTGATGCTGATCAAGAATATATATACTTTATGGGGTCGGAAACGTCTCCTTCACTGCGTTGCAAACTTCTGACTGAAATCATAATACCCTCTGCAAGGGTATAAAAAATGGTCACCTTAAAAATATTTAATTATTCTATAGAATCTAAATGTTCTAGCTAATACTAATGATCCTTACCGAGAACATATGCTTTATTTAACCGTGATCCAGAATTCGGTGTAAATGACCTAATTCAACTTTTTACATTCTACTTCACAAATATTTAATACCCTTCCAACAAGTAGTTCGTATAACTCATAGTTCTCAAATTTGTTTATTTCCAGCACGATCGTGAGCAGTGGCAAATGGTGTTCATCATATCCGCAGTGATCTTTGTCGTGGGTGACATTATCTATCTCGCTTTCGGTCAGATGGTTAGTCAACCATGGGATGCACCCGACTTTTTGGACAAGCAACGCTCGGCCAATCTACAAGAAGAGGGAAATTCCAAGGCTCTGGAAGCAAAGCAGAGCGAGAAATTGGAGGAAGAAAAGCGTAAGGAAAGTGAAGCTGGCTTAGAGAGCAAGGAACCCAAAAATAATGATCTGAAAGATGAGCTGTGAGATCTTGGGATCTAAAGATCGATACAAACATTTTTTACTCAAGGCTGGTCCGAAACTTTTTTGACAAAAGTTTTTTATAAATACAATCAACATGTATTCCTATTAGGTAACATAAGTTATAAATATAAAATCTTATGAAAAAATACTATAACGCATTAAATACGGATTCTTGCAGCTTTTTTAGGCAAAAACAGATGATATGTGCACGAGCCTATTATCTCATTGCTATTATTTTCTTTGTAGTATAATAGTTACATAGTCAAAACACAAGAAGTGTATGAAAGGTCTCCGATTAGCCGCTCGTGCCTGGCGCCCTGATTGATTTGAACTTTCGCTATCAGTCGAGGTGCTTCACTCTTTATCTTTCGAAAGTATTGGGGGATGGGGTTTCCAGTTAACGTCTGAAGGATACCACGGGTATGCGTGATGCAGATAATTGGCCATGACCGATGATAAGATTAAACTTAAGCCTCTGCCACTGAAGAGGTTGAGTAGATAAGGCCGCTCTGCCGGACAACAGTCGAGTGTGGAAAATCAATGACGTCTTAAGAGTTATACGACAGACTTTAAGGGGGCCTTTCCCTTTCCATCAGTATCGCATCCGGATTTCAAGCGCCGTACCACCCACCGCCTTCAAAACCACTCGTCTGACGCTATCAGTGGTCCGTTGTGGAACCGCTATCGCTCCGCTTCGCCAGTATAAATTCTCACTTCCATTGTTGCCTTTTTCCTTATCAATATCGTGTTTGTGAAGTGCTCTGATTTGGTGTCCATTAAGCGGGTATCACTTGAAAACTGACGGCGGTTGCGATTAGCTCTCCAATAAAATGGAAGGTGTAAAGCGATCTGGCTGCAGGTTAGTAGTTGAGTATAATTTGGATCTCTAGCGTGTGCGGTACAACTGAAAGCAGTGCGGATATGACGGCGGAAATAAATACGGGTTAGTGAAAGGTCCTAAAAGGATCTCAAGACCTAAAAACTAAGTACTAGTGGTTTTTTTGGTCCTTCAAGCAAGGGAACATTTTAGCAGTACTAAAACCTTATAACAAAATGAAGTTTTGGGTGCTAAATTTTAGTTATTTGTTGGCTTTTTAAGAAATTTAATTCAATTCAGTCCCACTAAAGATCTTATTATTTTCCCCCTTTATTCAGGTCCAATGATTGGCCAGCGACATTTGCAGGCCTTTTTGCTGTTTCTGTCGATTGTGGTCAACTATATGGCCAAGTTCAATGCTGGAGTGGCGGTTGTGGCAATGACAAATGCCGAGAATACTAACCCAAACTTTCCGGTAAGTTTGAAGGGGTTTACTGCCATGCAATTTAGTTAACTAGCTATCTGATTTTCGGCAGGAGTACGATTGGAACGAAATGGAGCGGTCGTACATCCTCTCCAGCTTCTTCTGGGGCTACATATTAACGCAATTTCTGGGCGGATGGCTGTGCAGGCGCTATGGAGCCAGGATCACCATGTTTGTGTCCACCATCGGATCGGCTCTCCTGGCTCTTCTTCCCCCTGGTGTGTTTCCTGGGGTGGCTGGCAGGCTTATTGCGCCATTCGGATGTCCATGGGTCTCTTCCAGGGCTTCCTGTTTCCCTGCATCCACGCCCACTTGGCCAACTGGTGTCCGGTGAACGAGAGGAATCGACTGGGAGCCCTGGCCAATACGGGCATTGATTGCGGAACTCTGGTGGCCATGTTTGCCAGTGGATTACTGGCAGCCTCAAGCGCTGGTTGGCCCGGAATCTTCTACGTGTCCTGTGGTGTTGGGATTTTCTGGTGCATCATCTGGTGGATTTTCGGAGCCAACACCCCCAGGGAGTCTAAATTTATCAGCGAAGCGGAACTGAACTATATTGAGACATCGATCAACTCCAGTCGCAAGGCGGAGGAGGCCGAGGAGAAGGCGACTGGAAGAATTCCGGTTCCGTGGAAGGCGATTTGGACCTCGGTGCCTTTCTGGGCCTTGATGATCACCAGATGCTGTCAGTCATGGGGATATTCCACCCTCCAAACCGAGATGCCCGCCTATATGAATGGAGTCCTGCTGATGGACATGAAGAAAAATGCCCTTTACTCGGCTTTGCCTTATCTAACCTCCTGGATTATGGCCTTTGTTTACCTGATCATTGCGGATATCCTGCTGACCAGGGGCATTATGTCCATCACTGGGATACGCAAGGGAGTGAACTCGATAGCCTTCTTTGTGCCCGCGGCTGCGCTGATCGGAGTCAGCTTCTTGGATAGCACACAGAAAACGTTGGCTGTGGTTCTGATGTGCGCGAATGTGGGAATCAACGCTGGTTCCACAATCGGCAGTACCATAAACACCATCGACTTGTCACCGAACCATGCTGGCATTCTTATGGGAATTATTAATACGGCTGCTAACGTTGTGCCTATCCTAACGCCACTCCTTGTGGGAATCATTGTCAAGGATGATGTGAGTTCTAATATTATTTTTTTAACCAAAAATATAATGATAATATTACATTATTTAACAGCACGATCGCGAACAGTGGCAAATTGTATTCATCATATCCGCCGTCATCTTCTTTGTGGGCAATATAATCTATCTAGCCTTTGGTCAGATGGTTAATCAGCCTTGGGATGCACCCGACTTTATGGACAAGCAAAGATCCCCAAATCTACAAGAAGAGGGAAGTGCCAAGGCTTTGGAAGCGAAGCAGAGTGAGAAATTGGAGGAAGCGAAGCGAAAGGAGAGTGAAGCTGGTTTAGAGAGCAAGGAACCCAACGAAAGCGACGTAAACGAGGAGAATCCTAGCAGGAACGATATTTGAGATCATGGGAAAATCGAACTAACTATAACTCGAAAACCCCTTAGCATTTTACTCACGGCTGGCCCGGAGCTCTTTTTTATCAAGAGTCTTTAATACAATAGCTATAAATAAGTCATTTGTCTTCCCAATGAGTATTTTAAGATGTAAATATAGAAACTATAAGTGAATAACACTACGACCTTGTTGAATTACCTTTCGGAAATATGTCACTTCGTTATCAATGAACACTGATTACTATAAGAAGCATTGGGAGTACTGATCGTAAATAAGCAAGTAGTTGACGTATGTGTCACGTGAAACTAAGATCGATTGGTTCTCCAATTAAGTTGACATGTGTTTTAACCAACAGTAAATTGAACTTTGATAAGGGAAGAAGGCGTAACAGGTATTGTTTAGATAAATACGTGGGAACATTGTTACTGAAGATAATATTGCCGAGTAGTACTAATAGTTCTGACCTTTGAGTTGTTATGCTTCTTAGATTTGGTTTGCGGCTTTTCAGGACCCTAAACACGGTTATTAACTAAGGTCAGTTTTTCTTTAAATGTAATGGCCCAAACTGGTTTGAATACGGGTTTTGGCTATTTATGGGCAGTAGTATATTTGTACTACTGCAAATTAGATTGACTAATCTTAGAATAATCACAATAACCAACATTCCTATTTTAACTCGTTTATGATCCTAATCGCGTGCCACGCTCTCTTAATCCATAACATGAACTCTTTGTGTTAATACGCACGCGTAGGGCCTTATCACAGAATAATCTGACTGATTAACTAAAAGTTGATTAACAACTCTCGTATGATTAAAATCGTCCCTGGGTGTGGTACTCCCACAGTTCACTCGAGTTCAATTGGTGTACGATTTCGGACGACGGAGGGTCAATTTTAAATTAGCACTTCAAGGATGACAGCTGAAGTAAATAAAGGTAAGGACAAAAAAGACATTATTGCAAGTGCAAGGAGTTGAATATCAAGGGAAGAGTGAAGAAACGTCAATTTAATATTCTTTTGTGTTTTTCTAATCTATATGAATAAGGTTAAAGAAAAAGAAAATATATACAAGTTGAATCTGAAACTGAACTGCGCGTAAAGTGTTGATTCTATACAGGTGGACCTAATGGACTTTAACCGTTCGTTCTTGAAAAGTGCCTATAAACATAACATACTTAGCAGGTTTCGATTTCATGAGAATTTTCGATAATTCATAAACTTTACGCGATAATAACTATGTTCAATGGTTGATTACAGGACCCATGCTGGGAATGCGACACGTCCAGACCTTGCTGATTTTTCTCAACATCACGTGTTTGTATATCGGCCGCCTAAATGTGGGAGTATCCGTAGTGGCCATGACCAATGCCGAGTCCACCAATCCCAATTTTCCAGTAAGTACTCTGTGCAATGCGATAACCTTTAGCTTACAAGTTTTTGAATCCCAGGAATACGACTGGAGCTTGACACAAAAGTCCTATATAATATCCAGCTTCTTTTGGGGCTACATTTTCACCCAGTTCCTGGGGGGATATTTATGCAAGCGCTTTGGAGTCAAGAGTGTCATGCTCTGGGGATCCTTCGCGTCGGGAGTCTTCAGCGCTCTAACGCCACTCTTCATCAGCTTCGGCGGATGGCAGGCGTATTGCGGCATTCGAGTGCTGATGGGCCTTGCCCAAGGGACTGATCTTTCCCTGCATCCATCAGCACTTGGCCAGATGGTCACCGCCGGCGGAGAGGAATCGCCTGGGCGCTCTCAGTCACACGGGAATCGAGTGCGGCAACGTGTGCGCCATGTTCCTGAGTGGAATGATAGCGAAGAGCCCAATTGGCTGGCCAGGAATATCCTACGTCTCCGCTGGAGTGGCCTTCGCATGGTGCGTCTTTTGGTTCCTTTTCGCCGCCAACAATGCAGTGGAATCTCGTTACATCGGCGAGGCGGAACTGGAGTACATCGAAACGTCCCTGAAGCACAACGAGGACTATCACAAGACCATCATTCCCATTCCCTGGCGGGCCATCTGGACCTCGGCTCCATTCCTGGCCCTTTTGGTGGCCCGCTGCTGCGAGACCTGGGGTCTGAGTACCCTGCAGGCCGAGATCCCAACGTACATGAACGGGGTTCTCGATATGGACATGAAAAGCAATGCATTCTTTTCGGCGCTACCGTTTTTGGCCATGTGGTTTATGTCGTATGTTTACCTGATTACCGCCGATGTTTTGCTCGCCGGAAATAGGCTAAGTTTAACGGCACTGCGAAAGACCTTCAACTCGATGGCCTTCTGGATTCCTTGTGCCACATTGATTGGAATAGGATTTCTGGACCAGAATCAGAAGAACTGGGCCATTGTCCTGATGACCATCAGTGTGGGTGTGAACAGTGGAGCGACAATTGGTACCTCCCTGAACACCATCGATCTGTCACCGAATCATGCCAGCATCCTCATGGGAATCGTGAATACAGCTGCAAATGTGGTGCCCATAGTGACTCCTCTTGTAGTGGGTCTAATCGTTGAGGATGATGTAAGTTTTGGTGTAAACATTTCTTTAATTTAATTTATCACTTATCATTTGCTTTTCAGACAAATCGCTCAGAGTGGCAGATAGTATTTATAATCGCCTCAGTACTATTCTTTCTTGGAAACTGCGTGTTCTTGTTTTTCGGCACGGCTGTTTCTCAGCCCTGGGATGCTGAGGACTATCTTCAGTTAAAGGAACCCGAACTCGCAATAAAACCAGCTATCCATGGAGCAAACAAAAATATTGATGAAATTACAAAAACTACGGTGGACCCGCTGGATGGATAGAAACGATATCCATGACAAAAACATTTACATGTATATATTTACATATTTATTGACTTACGTCTTAAATCAATATCTTAATTGGTAAATACCAAAATAGCATTTGTACAATTGTTTTCTCAAGGAGATTACTTAACAATTTTTAAAAGCCTTGAACTTATCAATTAGTGTTGTTTTAAATAGGCCAAACATACGATAAGCCATGTATGGTTATCTAAAATAACAAGATGTGATAAGGCTAAATCGCAGACGAGCTTACCTAATCACGATTCAATCTGTATTTAAATCACTCGGTCAATTTATTTCCTTCAGTTCTCCGGATCGGTCGATTAAAAGTGGCGGCAATTTTTTCTGATCAAATCGAATATGTCGGAAGAAATTAATAAAGGTGTGTGTTAAATTAACTCATTCTCTTGGATGTTAATGGAATTCAGATCACATACCTATTCTCTCCCGAGGGTATTTTTCTCGTGTATCTTAAATAGTATATCCACCTGCTTCTCAACTTCTAGGAAGTAATTTCGATCTTTCGATAACTCGAGTATTTTTTTTGTTGCAGGACCCTTAGTGGGAATGCGACATGTCCAGATCTTACTGATCTTCCTTAACATAACCGTTATGTTCATAGGCCGCCTGAATGTGGGCGTGTCTGTAGTGGCGATGTCGTCATGCGGAAACCACGAACCCAGACTTTCCGGTAAGATCACGGACTATAAAGAAGATAGATAAGAAATACCCCTAATCTCTTACCGTTCCGCAGGAATACGACTGGACGGAGGCGGAGAAATCGTACATACTATCCAGCTTTTTTTGGGGCTATATCTTGACCCAGTTCTTGGGGGGCTATCTCTGCAAGCGGTTTGGCGTGAAAAGTGTTATGTTCTGGGGTGTCTTTGGATCCGGAGTCTGCAGTACTTTGACACCCTTGTTTATTGGATTTGGCGAATGGCAGGCATACTGTGGAATCAGGGTGATCATGGGATTGGCGCAGGGAGTGGTGTTTCCCTGCATTCACCAGCACCTGGCACGTTGGTCACCGCCGGCGGAAAGAAGTCGCTTGGGAGCTCTCAGCTACTCTGGATGCGAGTGTGGAAATATGAGTGCCATGTTCCTAAGTGGAATGATAGCCAAGAGTTCTTTGGGATGGCCAGGAATTTCTTACGTCTCGGCTGGAGTGGCTTTCTTGTGGTGTGCCTTGTGGTTCGTCCTCGCAGCCAACAATCCCACTGAATCCAGATTTGTGGGGGAAAAAGAACTTTACTATATTGAGTCGTCGCTGAAGCACAATGAAACGTACCATAAGACCATTATCCCCATTCCCTGGAAGGCGATTTGGACCTCGGCTCCATTCCTAGCTCTTTTGGTGATCCGTTGTACCGGGATGTGGGGTTTAAGTACCCTGCAGGCCGAGATTCCAGCCTACATGAACGGTGTTCTTGATATGGACATGAAAAGCACTGCATTCTTCTCGGCGTTACCGTTTTTGGCCATGTGGGTTATGTCGTATGTCTACATGATTACCGCCGATGTTTTGCTCGCCGGAAATAGGCTGAGTTTAACGGCACTGAGGAAGACCTTCAACTCGCTGGCCTTCTGGATTCCTTGTGGGACTTTGATTGGAATTGGATTTCTGGACGTGGAACAGAAGAATTGGGCCATTGCCCTGATGACCATCAGTCTGGGTGTGAACAGTGGTGCTACTATCGGTTCCTCTTTGAACACGATCGATCTATCACCAAATCATGCCAGTATCCTCATGGGAATCGTGAATACAGCTTCGTGTTTGGTGACCATATTCACTCCCCTGCTCGTCGGCTTTATCGTTGTGGATGATGTAAGTTTTTGCCAGTATCTTTTTCTAAATTAGCACTCCAATTCATGTATATTTCAGACAAATCGCTCGGAGTGGCAGATCGTATATATAATCGCCTCGGTAATGTTCTTTTTTGGGAACTGCGTATTTTTGATCTTTGGCACGGCAATTTCCCAGCCCTGGGATGCCGAAGACTACCTTCAGTTGAAGGAACCCGAGATGGCTATAAAACCAGTTATCCATAAAGCTGCGAATGATGCTAAAGATCTTTCGGTCCCCCTTAAAAGATAATACAGATATGGTGTCTATCCCTAAGTAACACAATAATAATAAATATTCTTTAAAAGTACTTATAGTACTCTATAATGACTATGCACTTTTCATATGATTAATGGAGTTGAATTTGGAATGAATATCTTAATTGATAAGATATTGGAGGTCAGTAAATCAAGCCTCATCGTTAAAAGTGAAACTTTTTTCCTTTAAAACGCGTCAGCAGATGTTAAAATTTGCCCGTGGTTTGACTTTATCGCCTGATGGCGTTTTAGATAAGCGAAATACGCCTTATCGGCTTATTCGATTTGGATTTAAATCAACATTATGTTACTGCACCCATTCACTTTAATTCCTACAGTGCTTCGGATCAGTCGATTTTAAGTAGTGATCCAATCAAAAATGTCGGCCGAGGCAAATGACAATGGTGTGTGTAATATTAGATCCTTCGGTTCGGATTAGAATTTTGTGAATGGAACGGCTTCCCACGATCTTAACACACTTCATACGCCCTTCAGAATTCAGACCTTGCCCTCCGCCTGAAAAATTCCCGTGTTACCCGCAAGCCCATTGAGTGGTCATAAATCACTCCAATTATGGCGACGATAACGATGTCTCAAGAGCCATTCAGATTTATTTGCCGAACCGCTTGCAGGCAGGAAGTACGCGCGATAATACCAGTTTTTTCGTTTTGTTGCAGGACCCATAGTGGGAATGCGACATGTCCAGGCCCTACTGATCTTCCTCAACATAACTATTATGTTCATAGGCCGATTGAATGTGGGCGTGTCGGTGGTGGCGATGACGAATGCGGAAACCACGAATCCGGACTTTCCCGTAAGATCACGGACTATCACAAAGAAATACCCCTAATCTCTTACCGTTCCGCAGGAATACGACTGGACGGAGGCGCAGAAATCGTATATACTCTCCAGCTTCTTTTGGGGCTATATCTTCACCCAGTTCCTGGGGGGCTATCTCTGCAAGCGGTTTGGCGTAAAGAGTGTTATGTTCTGGGGTGTCTTCGGGTCCGGAGTTTGCAGTACTTTGACACCCTTGTTTATTGGATTTGGCGAATGGCAGGCTTACTGCGGAATCAGGGTGATCATGGGATTGGCGCAGGGTGTGGTGTTCCCCTGCATTCACCAGCACTTGGCCAAGTGGTCACCGCCGGCGGAGAGAAATCGCCTGGGGGCTCTTAGCCACACGGGAATCGAGTGCGGCAATGTGAGTGCCATGTTCTTGAGTGGAATGATAGCCAAGAGCTCGCTGGGATGGCCTGGAATTTCGTATGTCTCGGCTGGAGTAGCTTTTCTGTGGTGTGCCTTGTGGTTCCTTTTTGCAGCCAACGATCCCACTGAATCCCGATTTATAGGCGAAAAGGAACTTCACTATATTGAGTCGTCGCTGAAGCATAATGAAAAGTACCACACGACCTTTATCCCCATTCCGTGGAAGGCGATTTGGACCTCGGCTCCTTTCCTGGCCCTGCTGATAGTACGATGTAGCGAAAACTGGGGACTCAGCACTCTGCAGGCCGAGATTCCAGCCTACATGAACGGAGTCCTCGACATGGACATGAAGAGCAATGCGTTCTTTTCGGCACTTCCATTCCTGGCCATGTGGTGCATGTCGTATATTTACCTGATCACGGCCGATGTTCTTCTGAGCAAGAACTCGGTTACCCTGACAGTGCTGCGGAAAACCTACAACTCGATAGCCTTCTGGATTCCGGCCGCCACTTTGATCGGCATTGGCTTCCTGGATAAGGATCAAAAGAACTATGCAATTGCACTGATGACCATCAGTGTGGGCGTAAATAGTGCACAGACCATTGGAAGTGTTCTAAACACCATCGATCTATCGGAAAATCATGCCAGCATTCTAATGGGCATTGTGAATACAGCTGCGAATTTTGTGCCCATAGTCACACCTTTGGTGGTTGGTTGGGTTGTAGAGGATAATGTGAGTATTAATAACAATAAGTAATTTATTTAATCTATTTATTTGCATCATTCTTTTCAGACTGATCGGACTGAGTGGCAGATCGTGTTCATCATTGCCTCCGTAATCTTTTTCGTGGGCAACTGTATTTACCTCGTCTTTGGAACTGCTGTTACTCAGCCCTGGGATGCCGAAGACTATCTGCAAATTAAGGAACCTGAGCTTGCCAATGGGCCAGCCAGCCAGGAGAAACCTAAAGAGGAACTTTCCTTAAAGATCAACGAAAAAATCAAAGACACTTCGAATGCGACAAATAGATAGTAAAATCATTTTTCTTTTAAGCCGAAATTAAATTGACAAGTCTGGGTAGGTTTATGTAATGTACGGTAAAACAAATAATAAAATAATATGTATTTAATTTGTATTAGCTATGTTCTGAATAAAAAAATTGTTATTGATATACAAGCACGGGTAATTAAAAATAATCTAGTCTTCCAATTCAGCAGTCTATAAATCACAAGAGATAACCAATATTAAAAATAGGTACAAATATAGAAAACATTCCTTGTGTTTAAATGCTATAAGCATTTGCCTTAATTATTTCAACTTACGATTACAATGTCTCAAGAGCTAATCAGCTTTGAGAACAGGGCTTTTGCCATAATATACCTAGACATATAGTTGTAATTAAAGAGTTTTAAGTGGGAACCCCGCAGTTTACTTATATTCCTTAACGCAAGCAATATCTTTTGTGCATATTTCTCTGTACAGTTTCTTTATACTTGACAAGTCTAATTCTAGTCTGTAATGTATAAAAAGCTTTGCAGTTTTGCGATTTTGAAATTTAATCAAATATTACAAAACCAGTATCCAGATGTGCAAATAAGACCACTTGTTCCATCACTCCTCTTTTAAAAATAAAGTTAGCAGCGACCTATATTTCTATAATTCATAATAACTTACTTTTCCAATAGACTGATGGGTTACAATGAACGTTTTATTTTATAGAAGCAGCAGTAAAATTTGTTTACAATTTAGCACAGCTCCCCAAAGCTAGCGCCATTAATGAAAGCCCAATTTCCGATTCCTCTTCTACGATCACTGAAAACCTGAAAAAGCTTTCGAGTCCCTGAGAAGATAATGAAAGCCCTGGTAATCTAAAGACAAGTCCATGTAGCTTTAGCTCATAACACACTCAGTGGCAAGGGGAATCACTTGAGATTGTAAAACCAAGGCATTAGTTTGGCTTAGATTAGAGTTTTCTTTAATTTAATAAAGCTCTATAAATTGACATAAACATTATAAATACTTTGGCCGTGTGGCTGCTCGGTACATTATCGATTCGTTGATTATTTATTTAACTGGTAGCATCGCTTATCAGGCGCGTTCCATTGTTTCGCCGAGATTAAGGCCATAAAGAATAATATTCCGAAAAATAAATAAAATCATTCATTTATGGCTGCTCTTGGTTTCTTCAAGTGGCGAGTAAAGTTTGCCTCTTTCCGCTTTCCGTTTTAAGCTTTCGGCGGCTCGGATTTAATTTCAATACGTTTTGAGGTCTGCTGAACAAAAACGTTAGTTGATAATCGTGCCATAAATCTTTTGGGCAAATAAACACGTCTCTGGCAAAATGGAGTGTAGGGTGTGTGTGTTTTTTAGCTACCACTTTGTGTAAATCCATCAATATTTACTGATAATACGTAGGAACATATGCATATGCTTTCTCAGTCCGCTGGCGAATACGAGTAGCACAATGGATCGGATACGTCAGTTGTCGGCTTCTGGAACGAGGAGTTGCGTCAAAGTGGCTCCGATCTTGTTTGCGACCGAACCATCTCTCTGGGGACTCACCTGCGAGTCCCCGGGCAAACAGAGGTAGATGTGAATGATATCGGTGAGAGTTCCGGCCGAAGCTCTCAAAGCTTTCGCTTGTCGTATAAATGTTGGCAATACAATGGCGTTTGGGCTTAGAACCGTTCTACCAATCTAGGAGTGCAGACCTCGGGTTAACCCGCAAACAAAGTGTTCCCCGTGGGCTATCTTCTCGGACTATCATCATGACCCATAAACCATCGAAGGGCCCTCGCCTGGGCGTTCGGCATCTGCAGTCGTTTCTGCTCTTCCTAGGCCTCACTGTAATGCACATCGCCCGTCTGAACGTGAGTGTGGCCATTGTGGCCATGACCAATGCGGCCACCACGAATCCCAATTTTCCGGTGAGTTTTTAATAGATTAACGAGTGATTAGCTCCTAGCTGACGTGGCTGGTTTCCAGGAATTCGAATGGACGGAGAAACAAAAGTCGTACATTCTCTCCAGCTTCTACTGGGGCTACATCCTGACCCTTTGTCCCGGCAGTTTCCTGTGTCGCCGCTATGGCGCCAAGGTGGTCCTCTTTGTGGCCAGCTGTGGCACCGCCGTCTTCAGCCTGATGACCCCTTGGTGCCTTACCTGGGGTGGCTGGCAGGTCTTCTGCGCCATCCGCATCCTGCAGGGTCTGTTTCAGGGCGTAATCTTCCCCTGCGTCACGGAACACCTGGCCATGTGGTCACCGCCGGAGGAGCGCAATCGCCTGGGCGCCTTCAGCTACACGGGCACGGATTGCGGCACCGTGCTGGCCATGTTCATCAGTGGCATGATCGCCAAGGGAGCGATGGGCTGGCCGGGCATTTCCTATGTCTCCGGATCTCTGTGCGCCGCCTGGTGCTTCCTCTGGCTGATATTCGCATCCAACAATGCCACCGAATCGCGTTTCGTTGGCGAGGCCGAGTGCAAGTACATTGAATCCTCGCTGGAGCACAATGAGGACTTCCACGAACGCACGATTCCCATTCCCTGGAAGGCAATCTGGACCTCGGTGCCCTTCCTCGCCTTGCTGGTCACCCGGTGTGCCGAAACCTACGGATTGAGCACCCTGCAGGCCGAGATTCCTTCCTACATGAATGGTGTGCTCAACATGGAGATCCAGAGCAATGCGGTCTTCTCATCGCTACCTTTCTTGGCCATGTGGCTGCTGTCCTACGTCTATTTGGTGGCTGCCGATGTCCTGCTGAAGAAGAAGATCCTTTCGCTGACCTCCGTGCGCAAGCTGTTCAACACGCTCTCCTTTTGGATCCCGGCCGCCGCCCTCATTGGCATTGGATTTCTCAGCGAGGAAAACAAGAACCTGGCCATCGTACTGATGACCGTGTCGGTGGGCGTGAATAGTGGGGCCACAATTGGCAGTTCCCTGAATTCCATCGATCTGTCACCCAATCATGCTGGCATATTGATTGGCCTGAGCAATACGGTGGCGAATGTTATTCCCATCCTCACACCACTGATTGCTGGCGAGATCGTGGCCGATAAGGTGAGTCAACCGTCGAAGAAAAATATACAGAAAAACCCAAAACTCAAATCAAAAACAATACTAATAAATATTTCCCAATTTCGCAGCACAATCGCGGGCAATGGCAGATCGTCTTTGGACTGGCAGCAGTCATATTCTTTGTGGGCAATGTTGTCTTCATCATTTGGGGAACCGCCAAGGCGCAGCCCTGGGATGCCGATGACTTCCTGCAGCCAAAGGATGCGGAAACAGCCTGCGAAAAGGAGAAAAGTACACCCACGCCCGCAGAGATCGCACCACCCATCGATCCCGTTCTGGAGCAGCAAATCAGTTGGCCCGAAAGGTATACGGCCAAAGCCATCGAGTGATTTGTGGAGGAAGTGCTGGACGCCAAAGTGCCCGCCAAAGAACAATTGCTTTTGTTAATCAGTATTAAGACATAAGTAGGCTGTAATTTATATTTATTCTATTTATAAGGCGTGACCGTAGCGCTAAGGCTTAAGTAAATTATTTTCAATTGAATCGCTTTGTTGTTACCAATCGCTCGTGATTTCGGCACTCGAATCGAGGAAGAGCCCGATCGGCAGGCGCAATCTAATCAGTTAATTTATCTTATAAATGTATATAAGCACTCATATTTATTTTGGATTGGGGCTCATGCGACCAATTGTCAATGGCCCAAAGCTTAGGCTGAGTGCTTTGCACTGCCTCCCTTTCGATGGGTTCAAAAACATTTGCCACAGCTGTTTGTGAATATATGATATATGGATTGTGATACTTAGAAATAAACTGTTGACTTGTTTCTCCGCTCTTTGTACTTTGCTCTATTTGAACTAGTTGCTCGTGGCTCGCAATGAGATATCTGTTGAATGGAATCTATGGTGGGTGGCAGCTTTGTATGCTCTACATCGGTCCAGCCTCCTTTTCAACGGCTTTCTAGTTACGCGACTCTATTTTAAGTTTTTGCTAATGGATAAGGAACAGTTTTATTGCTTCCTAACTGTATTTTCACGGATTTGTGAGTTGCTATATATCTCAGTTGGTTGAGAAGTCACAAACTATGTACCTTTGGTTGTAACGTAAGTAGTACTATGATCAATGGGCAATTAAAGATCGTGGAATCCCTGTCTGAGACCGGCCTACTTTTAAGTTGAGTAAGGTCCCTCCGCCTTATCTTATCAGCGGCTAATTCAGCAGTAATTATCGCCTAACGATCGCTTTGTCATTTGATAAAAAAAGCAGTCTAATGCCCCGGAACCAAAGTGATTGTAATTAGCTCTGGCGATTGATATAAAGTGCCTGGCCGACTGCCGGCGGTATATTTGCTCTCTGATAAGAACTTAACGCCAGCCACCGCGGCAGGAACAATTCGCACCCGTCATTGTTATTGTTTGTTTTTATACCCACGTTTGGCTCCCACGAGACGGTGAATTATTGGGGCGCGGAATAGAAATAGAATAGCTTCTCACTAGCTTGTAAAACTGTCAATAAACCAAAATGATTGACTACTGCTTATGAGATAAGCATCTAAATGCTTAAAAATTACGACAAATGATTTGTTTTCCTTCTTAAATCTTTCGGGAGTAATATTTCAAGTTCTTAAATCTTTTCATATTTTCCCTATATCTTAGTCACCGAAGTGCAATTGAAGTAGTTGATGTCGATATTTCTAGAACGGAAAGTCATAAGTGGAAAACGGAAATATAAAAAGCAAATCAATCGAAAAATTAATAAAAATTTATTTTAAGAGCATTCATAAATGTTCAGATAAATTTTATCTTATTTGTGAAGATGTAATACGTTTTTTTTTTGCCTAGATCAGACGAAAAGTAGGCTATGTTTCTATTTCTATTGAAGCACAGTTGAATGAACAAATAGCTTTATGATTCTAAGGTCCAAGGACAGATTAAGTTTTAATTCTTTACAATAGTTTAATTTTTGTTGAATCTTTATTTTATCTGGGTTATATTTAGAAACTACGCTAGATCTAACATTATAAGATAGAACCAATATCGCCTCTTTTTTTTTATTTTTCTTATTTTTCTGCTTTTGAAAATCAGTTTGAAAGTTGAATTTGAATATTTTTTTTAATTTTTTTATTTCTTTTATATTGTTGCGAGCATTACAATCTAGTGTAACCCAGAGCTTGCTTTTCTTTTGCGTCCTCTGTTATCTGGACTCACTTTCATTGCAGTCTTATGCAGATTACCCCAACATATAAGCTTAGAACTCGGCTGCATCGTTTTCAGCGGCACGCGGCAAGAATTCAAGTTTCGGTGAAGCCTGTTTGCCGATTTGGCGGGTAAACTAGTTTCGCAGCATAGCTAGTTGCAGCTACATATTAACGTGCGTCGCCAATCTTTAAATTGCCAGTTCGATGATTTGAGGCGGTCGCAGTGGTTGTTGCGCTTTGCAATGACGATAAAATCATTCAACCTGGTGGTAAAAAGTGAGCTGGAAATTTCAATGTTCGCGTCAAGTTCGCTGTCAAAGTCTTTTGTTTTCGCAGCTCCCAAATGGGGCATTCGTCACCTGCAGGTGCTGTTCCTCTTCGCATGCGCCACCTTGACCGTGGCCCAACGATTCAACATGAGCGTGGCCATTGTGGCCTTCACAAATGCCAACAGCAGCAACCCAAATTATCCAGAATATCGGCTGACGGAGCAGCAGAAGTCGTACACCATTAGTAGCCCCTTTTGGGGCTCATGCTGCACCCAAATGATGAGTGGCTATCTCTCGAGTCGCTTTGGAGCCAAGATGCTGCTGCTGGCCATCATGTTCCTGACCGCTCTACTCAGCATCGCCACGCCCTTCGCCTTGGCCTGGGGCGGCTGGCAGCTGCTCTTCTGCGTCCGTTTCGTCCAGGGACTCGTCATGGGAGGTATGTGGCCCTGCCTGTACACCCATCTGGCCAAGTGGTGCCCCAAGAAGGAGGCAAATCGCTTGGGCGGCGTCATGACGACGGGCTTGGATTGCGGCACCATAATTGGATTCGCTTTGAGTGGCGTTTTGTCTGCTTCGCCGCTTGGTTGGCCCAGCACCTTCTATGTGCCAGGTGAGTTTAAACGTTTAATTTTGTGCTTAAAATAAATGGGGAGTACAAGAAAACGCAAAACAAATTTCATTTTTAGCCATAGAGCCCTATCCTTTATTTTCTTTAAACAAAAAATGTTATCCTAATCGATTGGAACTGAAACCTAAAAACTTTAACTTTTCACATTTTTTTTTCACAAAAAAAACGTTACAAAACAATAACAAAATTGTGATGTGGATCCTTGCTGAAAAAATATCATTCATATTTAGGCAATTTATATAAATAAAAGAAAAGCATTTCCTATAAACGCTAAATCTGAAAATGAATATTGTAAGAAGAGGTTAATAAATCATAATAACTGGTTAATGGTTAATAAGTCATAATAATAAATCTCGTATCTTTGGCAATTGGTGAGATAACTGAGATATTTATCGACCTTTATTTCCACCCCCAGGTTACTTGGGAATTGTGTGGTGCCTTCTATTTATGCGTTACGGTGCCAACAGCCCTTCTGAGTGCAGATTTATTTCACTGGCGGAACGCAAACACATTCAACTGGCAATGGAGCAGACTCAGGTGAATCGGGGAGAGACTCCTCCAGTGCCCTGGCTCAAAATCCTCACCTCACGTCCCTTTATCGTATTGGCTTTCTGTAAGATGAGTCAGGCATGCAGCTTCTACACGCTGATGCAACAGATTCCGCGCTACATCCATGGCATTTTCCACTACAGTATTGCGGTTAATGCCCTGCTCTCCGCTCTGCCCTTCGTCGTCATGCTAATGTCGTCCTACGGGTTTATCTTCCTGGCTGAATATTTGACCCGATGTCGGGACATTTCGTTGCCCATCCTGCGCAAGACCATCAATTCATTTGCCACCTGGACTCCGGCCGTAGCCCTTGTTACTCTATCCTACGTCAGCGAGAAGAATGTTGTGGGCAGCATGTGCTGTCTGGTCGCAGCAACAGCCGCCATTTCCGGACAGGCTATTGGTAGCTCCCTCAACCACGTGGACTTGTCGCCAAACTTTGCCGGACTGCTCTTTGGGATTAGCAACACCTTGATGTCTGCGGCTGGGGTGATATCACCCATCATTATTGGACTGACGGTCACCAATGAGGTAAGTAATACAAAAGTTGAAGTGGAAAGTTATAAAGTTCCATTGTTTAACTTGTATACTTAACTACATTTTCAGTCGGATCGCACGCAATGGCGTATTGTTTTCCTTGGCATCTCTGCGGTTCTATTCCTAGGCAACTTGTTCTATGTGATCTTCGGTCGGATGACTGTCCAGTCATGGAATGATCCCGTGTCCAAAGACACCGCAACTGAAGCATCACAAAAAACAACAGCCACAATTTCCACAGCAACCGATGAACCGCTATTTGTTGAAAAGTTTAACTATTTGTAATTGTATATTTGTTGTAACGTATTCAGTGCTAAATTTGTTATATAAAAACAATTTAAAATCACATTGGTATATATGTCACGTATCCCCTGCCGTGTGGAATTCGCTGCGACCGAAGTTTGTATCTCTGAGATAATAAACTGGGGATTCGTTGATCAGGGACATGACGATGGACTTGAAGCCCAAAATCGAAGCCAACTTGTATTTGAGAATCACCGATTTTATTAGTTCCACTAGTTGGATCAGCGACTCCTCCTGTTTAGAACTTGTGGCACTACTTTGGGTATGCAGCAAGTAACTACGAAAATAAAAATGATACAGAGGATGTTAATATAGAGAAGCAAGGGGAATACTATACATTCTTACCCCTTGACCACCTGTTCAATCACATCGTCATTGATACGTTGATGGCACAGATATTCCTGCAGATAGTTGCCTACTTGAAGCACTACAAATTGGGACAAGATGGCCTCGCTCCAGTTAATATCATAACCATAGGCTCGACCAAGAATTAGTGTTTGTGGGACGCTAAAATGAAAACCAAAAAAAATGTAAATACCATTTGTACATTATATCAACTTCAGTTATATTATACCTTAGATGGCTGTTCACCAATTCCCGAAACTGTTCCCTTGACCGCACTCCAATGACGCTGACGCACATATGGTTAGAGTTATTGTTGTGCCGCTTTTCCAGTGCCTTGTTGCAGAGATCCAGCTGCATGGCCATCAGCTCCGCGCGGGAAACACTCTGCTGCGCCAGCAAAAGCTTGTTGTCCAACAAATAGTTCTCCGTAGCGTGTGTGTAATTTTCCAAGGCCTGCTGCAAAAGTGTTTGCACCTCCAGAGAGCATTTCAGCTTGTTGGACTGTTCGGCGAGTGTTTGGATTTTAATTACTATCTCTTGGGCTTCCGTGGTCCACATCTCCGCCAACTCCTTGTACATGAGGAAGTGCAGGGCCGCCAGGCGCAGCAATTCCTTCCCATTCTTTGGTTGGTATTCCTCTTAGGTAGCTAAGAATAGCCTGCCGAAGTCCGCCCTTCTGATCCTCATCGAACTGTCCCAACAAAGACTCGAACTGCTCGTTCTCAATCAGTGAATCGAAGCAGTAGAACATCTCACGGTAACGTGCTATCCCAATCAGCATCCGAACAATCAGCGACCAGGATTTCGCCTGGGCCAGCTTCCCATTGAGGACTTTAGCTTTCTGGAGCACACTCACAATGCCTTCCATGGAGCACTCGTGCACGAAACACAGGTGGGCCTTAATCAACAGCTCAACGTAGATTTGGTTTTGCTTTTTGTGGGACAGCACCTGGGGAATGCCCGACAATGTTCCCGTAGGTGAAGGCGTAGGCAACCCATAGAGTTTTATAACCTTTGACAGATTCTCGAAGGCTTCGGTCTCCTCGAATACCTTTCCCTCCTGGTAGCGGCGATAGGTCTTTAGGGCATCACAATACTCCAGCAAACAATTACCCAACATGGTTGAATTGGGAGCCAGTTCTAGGAACAAGTGGAAATCTCTATCGATGCTGTGGCCCCAGAGATCAGCGTTCCTCAAAGCATTTCTTGGCTGATCTCTGGCGTTGAAAATATAGAACCGGGGGACGTACAATACAGGTGGTCAGCTCCAGGGCTATACACTCGGCAATCTGTTAGTGTGAAGAAGACAGATTATAAAACGATTGCAATGCGAAAAGATTACAAAAACTCACTTCTTTTGGTGTCATACGCGTTGATATTTGTATATCACTGACCACCAGCAGACGCTGCAGGCAATCCTCGGCAGCGGCGCTTTTTAAAAGGATACCAGCATCCTTGGTGCGCAGCACATCCAAGTACTCCTTGTCCAGATACATGGCTGCCCTATAGGCGAGAACAATACGTCTGCCGAGCTCCACGCCGTATTTCAACTTTGATCCGATGCCCAGCAAAGTGTCCAGCGTCTGCTGCTTCTCCTTGGAGGGGATCTCTTCAAACTCCATGGCCACAGAATCCGAGCAGCTATCAGAAAGATCACTGTCCCAACGCGACACCACATTTTGGTTTAGAGTAATCCGATTAAACTTTGGAAACGCACTCTTCTCGATTTCGCCCAGCAGCTGGCGTTCCTTGCTTGACAGATTACTAATGCTGGTCATGCCTTCGGCCAGTGCCATCGCAAACACAATAAATCTAAGGTCGTTCGGCCGGAATTCGAAGAGCTCCTGAAGACGCAGTGCCTCTACAATGTCGCCCTTGTCCAAAAGCGTGTTTAATAAAGTCATGAGTCTGGCTTCCATCTCCGGGGTAAGCCTAGTTTTATCGGATATGCTGAGGTCATCAATTCCGGCCAGTTCCTTGAGTTCCGAGAAGGATTTATATAGCACGCAGCGCTCTTGAAGCATGATTTGCTCAAAATACTCCGAGTGGTAAATGGACAACTGAGAGAGCTGGTCCTCCGGCAGTTGCAGATAGCACAAAACCATATCATACTCAATCTGATCTCGATCAAAGGATTCATTGGGGAACAGATGATGCTGCTTGATCACACCCAGCGTACTCTGAAGCAGCTCGTATCGACGCAGACCGACTTGACTGACCGAGGAAGCGGCTTGCAACAGGAAGTTCACTAGAATGGCGGGTGCTAGAGCGTGCTGTTGAATCTCCTTTTCATACTCCTGATGGGGTCTTAATTCTCCCGCTTCCAGCTCCGCCATCCATTTGCGATAAACAATATCACTTAAACGGCAACTGCAGCAAGGTGGCCAATTGCAGAGCTTCCTCGTAGGCTCGAGCTTCTGTGAGGGCATCCACCAGTCGTCTGTACTCTAAGCTATCCTTCTTCACCAGCTGCTCCAGATCAATGGATAGTTCGCGCAGCCAGGTGGCGGCTACACCGAAAACTTTATGTAGTAGACAGAAATCAAGCAGATCACAAATATCGCCCACATCCGAGCGACAGATGCAGTCAAGGAATCGCTGCTGCTGCAGTATGCAGTCAAAATTGGACTGTAGTTGGATGATCAGCAAGCCAATGGAGCGTTGCATCACTTGCTTTCTGGGCAGAGCACCGCAAAGGGGCAGAGTGACTGAATTCTGGCTCCAGCTAAAGAAGAACTGCCGTAGCTCAACGATTGTGGCATCGCTGAAGTCCTCCTGGTGCGCTGTCAGCTGAAGAAAGCGGCACAGATGTGTAAACTTGCACTCCTGAAAAGGGAATTTATGGCTAAATTATAAGGAATAGTAATTTACAAAATGTATACCCACGGGCTGAAAGATTTCTAGGCTATGCAGGAGGGCGTTCACATGTCCACCAGCTACAGCCCCTCGGATGACAGACCACACCCAATCCGATCGATTCTCGTCTCGCACCTTGGAGGCCTCCGACAGTTGATTACTCCACTGACCACTGGTCACCGATAGCCAAACGATCCAGCACCAATCGCGGTTCTGCTCGCTAAGTGTGACCGCCAGCACAGCCAGGATAGGCAGCTCCTGTCGGATGCAGTGCCTCAAGAGATTGATGCTACTGCAGTGCGGCGTATTGCCCACCATCATCTCCAGAAACTTTGCTGTGCTGGGAATAATTTCATCTGGCAGACTATTGGTGCTGCACAGTATAATGGCAAATATATCCTGTCGAGCTGTGTGAGTTAGCAGAGTGCACAACGACTGATCCGTATTCCCCTGGAGCTGCTGCATGCTGGAATCTTGGTTCGAACTGTGCGAAGAGTTGGTCATCGTTTCCTGCGAGGAATTCGTTTGCATTTCCCCGCTCCGACGTGGCGGTCTTTGGAAGCTTCTTTTGTGCTGGCGATCGCCAGAGGATTCGAAACTCAAGGCGCGCAGCAGATGCACACCGATTGGGGAGGATTTAAAGTGCGACAAGAGCTTCTTGAGTTCACTTAAACGGAAGATCGAAGTATTGAAAGATGAGGAGCAAGTGCCACCAGTCATTTCTGGAGGCGTAGTATTCGAGCAAAGCTACTGGAAGTTTTCCAGGAGTATCCCTGACAGCCAGTCGCATCAGGGATTGATATAGTTCCTAAGGGGAATTCTTTGGGATTTGCCTCCAGGTGTTGCACTAAATCCCGATCCCACCCAGCCAGTGACTCCGAGTAACTTTCTCCGCTTCGGGGCTTTGGTAACATCCTCTGGAGCAGTAGAAAACTCCTTAGTTGCTGGGTATCGAAGCCCAGCATCTCGCAGCAAGCAACGCAATGGGTTACCAGCTCCTCATCCCCAGCATGCTGCAGTGCCATCTGGGTAACCGTCTCACAGGCGTGGAAAAGCTGCGTCTTTGTGATCTGACCATAAAGCTGCAGTTGCTCGGTGATCAGGTAATACACGGCATAAGCGCTTCTCTGCTGTTTCAGATAATGGGTGTAATTCAGTTGAGATTTCCTGGCATATCGCTGACAGAGACGCGCATTTGAAAAGCTGACCAGCTCACCATGCCCAGCGGTGGCCAAAAGTGGTAGATTCACCTGCTTAAACTTCAGGAAAAGATCGTGGGCTGTGGGCAAGTTGGAACTGCCGCTCGTCGGTCCGTGATCGAAACGAGCAATCAAAGATTTGAGATAGGGCACCCGACCCAAGTTTGTAGAGGCGAGAAATCCCTCCAGCGAGCGGACACTTGGCTCCTGACCCAGAAAGTCGTAGAAGGTGAGCAGCGGATGCCCCTCAAAGGAGTCGGCTGTATCATGAGTTTTTTCCAAGTATGCCTGGACGCTCTTGGAAATCTGAAAGAATATTGAAATGAGTAATCGAAGATTGTAAGGCATAATAGAAGAATAGTTGAGGATTATAAATATAGATTATCAAACAAACCAAACTTGGAATATGTCGAAATTATAATGAATCAACCACATTCCTGATTTTTTTCGACTTAATATTAGAAAAATATTTAGCTTACCAACTCGAATCCCTCATTCTCGGTCAGCGAATATGTTTTTAAATCGACGATTAGGTTGATGAGGGATTCCTGGTGGGTCTCAGTGCCGGCCAGCTGTTCCAGC